AGACAGAGTTTTCCAGCAGCACCGGTATAAACGGTTGATTATCCTGTCTGAGATGCAAGAGGATATAATCTGTTACCCATGTACACGAGGAGTACACTAAAAAGGTAAGGTCCTGTCTGTGTGTATGACCTATTCATCATTTCTCATTTCCAAATATTATAAATTAATGTTTTTTATCTCGTTAAATTTCTACATAAGACTAAACTGATGCAATAAACATGTGCGGCAATTGTCCAAGAGGTATTTTTGGATGGCACTGTATGTATATGACAAGCAAAATCTTTGTCCAAGCTTTATTTTTTCAGATGGAGTATTCCATAACAAGACTTATTGCTGCTGTCAACATTTTCCATATAACAAAATAATAAATTACTGTTATGCACCGATACATGTTCCATTTGCTGTGCACCGACACATTTTCATCAGCTGACAGATACATTTTCATCAGCTGTGCACCGATACATGTTAATCAGCTGTATCGATACATGTTCATCAACTGTGCACCTATACATGTTCATCAGCTGTGCACCTATACATGTTCATCAACTGTGCACCTATACATGTTCATCAGCTGCTATTATGTAAAGTCATTATCGTATATCTATATTGAATATTCACAAAGTCAATCAGTTTCCAAGTTGTTTACAGTGTTTCTACAGCAGCTGTTCTCATCGATTGAATATTTTAAGTTTTAACATTTGGGATGGCATACATCCATGGAAGAAGAATGTACATTTGGCTCAAAAGTTTCTGCAAAAACGTCCACAAAAGAACTTGTGCTATTTAATTCAAATTGCATTTTAATGTAACAACTTTACAAAATAACTGCAATTCTTTGCTTCTCCAATCTAAGTGTATTGTAAATAATATCCAACATTTTTGCAACACCTTCATTATTCAGCCACTGACTACCCCAAGCATACTCGACATTTGTCTCATGTTTTATGTTCTGTTTTTTTTTAAAATTTGTTTCATTTTCCGAAAGACCTTGCCATAAGTTCTGGCGTACAATGAAAGCATTAAACACATAATAGTTTGTGTGTAAATAATTCAGCAAGACCAACAGCTCTTTGTCGGCGGACAAGTCTGTGCTAGCCATTAAAATCGTTTTTATCGTTGAAATGTAAACAGTATCCGTATATATATAGCCGTTGACATCAAACTGTTTGCGTACAATGATACAGCGAAAACAAAATTGTTGAGACTCAGTATTTCTAAATACATGTGGTATTTAGGCGAGTTGCACAGACACCATTGGGCGTTCAGCAAAGAAACCGTTTGTGCTTCCATCAGCTGATGTTGTATACACAATAAATTAAATGCACTGTCATAAAATTTTTAATTAACATAATTGTTGTTCGTTACATTTTGCTCACTTAAGCTATTATCAAACATTTAAATCTTTTATTATATCTTGCCAGTTTTGTTTTAAACATTTATTAGCATGCTAGAACAGGTGCACGTAATTGTTTGTAAATGGTTTCCGTATTATTTCTCTCCTCCAATGCAAAACTGCATCTGTTATTGAGGACATCAAAAGAGTAATGTTATGTTGTTTCTACGTTCATACCGTGAAGATATCTACAACTTGGAGAAACCTTGTTGCGGACTTTCATCAAAATAGCTACCGACATGAGCTAAAGTAATGCACTACGGTCGCGTAACGTCGTGAAGATCCGGAGAAAGGAAACAAGTCCAAATATGCATAATGGTCAAATAGTTTTCAAAACCTTTTGTATGTTTCCGCCGAATAATCCAATTACACATGCTTTGTTATCTTTACATTAACTTACTTGTGTGCAGGAACACAGACGTGTTGGGTTTAATCTAATAACTGCAATAGACAACAAAATCGGGACATTGGGCTGTAGAATTCAGAAGGGACTTGCTGACTTTTGCGCTAAAGGGATGCAGAGCAATTTCAAAATGTTAACATACTCGTCCATTATGTACAAAGAATTACCGACATAGTCCTCTACAACTAAGACGGCTGCCGACCATCCTGATACACCTCCATGAAAAACTTGTTTAACCACCCTGCGGATATGTTGCTTGCTTTTTAAATTTAACTTTTTTAACGTCTTGTCTGTAATACGTAGGCTTCACAATCTTCCATTCTTTTTTTTTTCAAATATATAATTTGAAGTTAAATGCCTTTTAAGACCATACGCCGCTTTTCGTAGAATGACTAACGCGTAATATTGAAGATTCTGTTAACGACCGTGTTAACATAATGCGGATGTTTCTTCAGCTACAATGGGCATATTTTGTGTAGGTATTTCAAATATTGATATAAACAATAATAATGCATCGATTGGATAGTCTTATTTTTTTGAAAGAAAAAACAAACGGATATTGATAGAAATATCTTTTTTTAAGAAAAAAACAAACGGACATACGGATAGAAATATGGTATTTTGTTTTACAACAATTTTTCATCTGTTATATACAGATATGTAAAATCAGATCATGTATCATGCATCACATTTCCAACAACATCCATATGTTTTTCTTTCGTGGCTGGTTGTCATGTAAGATACTAAATACTATTAACATATTTATGTTTGGTATTACAGATTCTCCGTTATAGAATAACTCACTTTTACTCATACTTTCTAAATGTCCCTAAACAGGCTCAATGCAACATTTTTCCATTCTGAGGTTTTGGGTGTTGTTTTTTTTACTGTTTCCATTTTTATGGCCATTTTTCTTCCAAACATGCATGTATTGCCACGGGTAGCAACAAACTGCGTTGACTTGTCGATCGATATTTAAGCGAACGATGATTTAACTTACGAGATACGGCAATGGAAGAATAAACAATAAACTTCGATGAAAAAGGAGGATGATAAACGGACCGCTGTCAAATGTGTCCGCATGACTGGTGTTTTTCTACTCGGTTGGTTCCAGTATTCCTCACTTAAATACTGTTGAATCACCCTTAGGATATGTTGCATGCTTTCTTATTTTGTCTTTTTGATAGCTTATCTGTAATATGCAGGCTTAATGACCTCTGATCCCCTTTCAAAAGTATATTTTACTTCGGTCTTGTTAAGGGCACACGCATTTTTTTTTACTTGCGGACCATATGCCACTTTTCATGGCATTTAAGGTTCCATGATAATTACCATATGAACACATCTGCGGATGTTTCAAAATTTTACCAGTTCAAGTTAAACGTAGAATTCTGCTTAAGCTGGTGCTAGGGACCTTGGACGGTAACTTGCAATTTCCAGTAGCGTCCATGAACAGCTTAAGACAAACCAAGCCTGCAACATTTTCAATTTTGCGTGTTAAACTTTCTTTAGGGATTCTGTTTTCAACTATTTTGATGAGAAGCAAACAATGTTTATTAGGACAGTACCAAAATCCCTTCGATTTTGGAACCGATTTATAGTACAATTAAATTGCCGAGATATTTCATGAAAAGCTTCACATCTAAATTCTGGTGTACGCGTCCGCATGGATATCTGACGGCGTTCTTGCTTGTATTTTCGGATTAATACAATAACGACGACTGAATCAAAGTATTTAAGACATCGGCGGGTATCAAAGCGGCTAAAGATTGAAAAAATTGGAAGCAATAAATAATAAAACATATTGTTTACTTTGCCCAAGAGCTATCTACCATTTTCCGTGCTTTTTAAATTCACCCATGTATTTCATCTCAATGATGTTATATTTTTCTAGACTTTCAGGATCATTGGTTCTAATACTAAGTATTGAATACTGAATTCTGCTCAAGTATGTAGCAGGGGCCTCGGAAGTCGTCCCGTCATTTATGTTGTACTAACAGATTTGACTAAACCGAATCTGCAATTTTTACTTTTCTATTTTTGTTCTGATTTGTCTATGTGGATCTTTGAAGATTTTACTATAAAATTGAAAAACATTTTGAAAACTGAAAATTTTTTCACCTTTTTTAAGGATCCCTTTAGTAATGCCGTTTCGCATTCGTACCTTTCGCGAATATTGCAAGAAGCGCGCGCAACAAAACGCGTAAAGCACACCAAACATCAATATAACGCCGACTCCATGAACAATAGCACAATGTTGCCAATGACATAGGTCGGATTCTGTTATGGTATAGATGATGATCATGTTATTTCTTTGTCTGAATAGCATGTCTAGAAAAGCCAAAGTTGCGTTATAAAAATATAAAGTTGGTGAAAGAACTAACCTATTAATGCCTTAGTGTATTAATGATAGAAGACTTCGGGCTATAGCCTCAGAACAGCCAATGCTGCATAATAAAAATATATATTTGGTGAAAGTACTCAGTATCTCAGTGTATTAATGATAGAAAACTTCGGGCTAAAGCATGTGAAATAAGATCAAATAAGCCAGAGGGATTTTTAATGTTTTTGAGACTGTACCCCGTCTGAATTTCTATTTACAATGGTAAAATATATTCATAACGCATGATTCATTTCATGAATACAAAATGCAAACGTTATTTCACAGTAAAGTTCAATATATAAATTTTCCGGATCAATTGAGATGTCAAATACATATATACTGTAAAACAATTTGCATTTGCATAAAAAATAAGCTCATTTCAGCTCTAGCAAAATATACGACACTACTTCTGCAATACATAAAATCTCCACATTTCGAAACAAGACAGCAATATTTTTTTTATACGACAAGAGTGTAAAACAATACCGGATATAACTTCCTATATGCATGCAGACCGGCTTAGTACCTAAACCGCGAACAATAAATAGTTTTGAAATTTTGCGGACCGCCACGCGCTTGAAGTCTAATGTTATCGACTCAAGACGAATTTCAATGGACCTTTTTCCACACAACTTTATTTCTTTCTTTAAAAATTAAAAGTTATACAGAGAAAATAACAACTGATTCAAAACAGATAGTTTGGCCATAAAAGCAATAACAAAGGCAATGCGGAAGCGAGTAAACAATTCATGAACTTGCTAATTTCAAGTACCTGTACATGAAGAAAGTAAAAAAAAATCAGGGACTGTAACAACCATACATAACCACTCTATAATTTTATTCAACAACAGTACGACATCTATAATATTGTAAAAAGCATACAATGTACATGATAAAAACGTTTGGATGCAATTAACTCAAACACCTGTAATTTATTGTTAAAATCATAATAGACGATACTAATTTTGTGGCACTTTCAAATTATTACTATGCCATGTCAAGAAGTTATTTGCGATGTAGATAAAGTATTACATTATTCCTTACAAGGAAGGAGCAATATTTTGTACATTAAATTGATAAGCAAAACAATTCAAGGGAATTCATACTATGAACAACTTATATTTTCACTGCACCTGTAAAATGTAGCAGAATAAGCTTGTTTATTTAATACATTTTCAATACAGATACTGGACTGTTTAGTATAAGTCAATTCAAGAAACAACTCAACAATCTTTTCTTTAATCAAATTAAAATATCCAAAAATTGTTCTTCAAAAAATCATTTTTTAATAAATCTGCAAATGTTATTACATTGATTCTGAAAGTGTATGTATCACTTAATTTCTCTTTATTATCACTGCTAATAGAAACAGTTGAAATACTTACTAGAACAGAATATATTGCATGTAAACTAAAATTTAAGAGACACGATTCATTTGAAATTAACAAAACAAATAAAAGAGAACCAAAATGCTTACATTCTACTTTTACCTACTTATTGCTTCCCTACAATACTAGTGTTCATCACCTACTTTAGACACCATACAAAATCAAATTGAAATGTTATACATGTACACAATTATATCGCCATGAACACACACACAATATTTATATTTGTTGTATATAAATGGGCCATTCTCTCTTTTAATTTAGGCGCATCCTCTGACAATTTTAATATTTTCGAAACACTTTATACACAGTCAAAACATAGACATTTCATCTTTGTCAACATTGTCCCTTTCACGGTCTTGGACCAACACAGTCATACCACACCACAAGCATCATCTTATCTTCCTATCTAAAAATATATACAAAAACAATTATAAGTAAACTGTCTATCAAATTGAGATATACTGTAAAGAAAAAAGAAATTTATTAATTAATAAAATGTATGTCAGTCATGTAATAAACATATATATAAAACACATACTAGTACCTTGATGTTTTCTCGGAAAACCTAAGAAAAGAATACAATGATTGAACTAGGGTGTACAAAATGCTTTTTACCTATAATATGGGAGATAGTGGCAAACCCCTATCATTAAAGAGGTCGGGCATATGATGATGCATTAGGAATTGAACTAATACAATATTTCGTTTCCCTGTGGCAACCAAATTATATATATATAAAAGAAACGGTTTTTTATTACTTTGCTCTCCAGCCAATTACACATTACACACATGCTGAACAATATATCTCAAATGTTGTATAAACAAAAATGTCTATTTTGCTGGAAATTCATTTGTTTCGGGGTGGTCCTTATAAAACTACATATAACTGTCTAATTGTCTGGATAAGTAATCACCCTTAACAAGGGTGTCACCCACGCATATCAAGTAACTAAACTGCGCATAATGCAATAAAGATAAAATCAATTAAACATGAAACAATAGAGCTTTATGAAGCTAATTGTTTATGAATGATTTCCTGAATGCCTGCTTTACACTAGAGATAAACAAGTCTATGACATAATCATTGTCTATGAGAAACAAACGCTAATTAATCGAACACCTGCAAGAAAATATCATTCTCGTTATCTATAATATCGTGAAAAAAGGGTATGCTTTATCCAAAAAAAAGATTGAATGGAAATTAAATTGTCTCCAAACTGACGATTGGATGTTGCTAAAATTGTGCTGCGCCAATATTTTCTTGGCTTAAGATTTTAATACCCAGAATCTACTGCCATTCACAAATAAAGGCGTCACAAAAAGATAAACATGCGAAAATCGCTAAAACAGTTAACTTTGTATATTAACATTAAATCTGTAAATTTTGAACTATGATAACAACAAAGCGTACACATATAGCACTAATTAACTTAGAAATACTTTCATACCATTTACGAAAATAATATATTAATGAATATTGATAAAGACTCTTCTGTAAACCATATTTTCTTTGTATATGTATACTTTATATGCTGAAATAATTGTATACTGTTTGATGCTGAATGAACTATATTGTTTTGTATTGCAATAATGGTGGGTTCAAAGCTATATATCTTTGACAACTTGTTAATAAGTAAGTCTGCTTATATGCAGGGCCGGCAAAATCTGATTTTGACTTATTTGTCCGTTTTTAAGTGAAGCATTTTTAAACTTGTACGTATGATATTTACATAGTTAATTCTTGAAAATTTTCACTTGTCCGCACAGGCTGTGTACAACTTTTGGTCTCTTTTACTAATGTTGTAGTTGTAAATTTGTTTGTTCTTTTTGTTTTGTGCTGTAGTCTAGCCAGATACTTACAAATATATGTGTCTGTGTTATCATTTGTCATCGTTAGCAAATCTCTTCAAAATGTATAATCAAACATAAGAAAATAATTAAAGGTGCCATTATTGTTTTGTTGTTATGTTGTGAGAGTATGTACACTGCATGTATTTTGTTTGTCTCTGCATACAAACATGAAGGGGAACATAACAATCTATCCGTATTAAGAACTAATGTTGACTTTTAGCCTAGCAATTTAAATCGCTAAAGTTTAAACCAAGACAAATTGTTAAGAAGATGAATCAAAGTTCCAAACAAATCTAAACTTCAAGAAAATATTCAAACTGAGGGGAAACATGCACACTGAATATTATTCTAATGCTTCAAAGATCAAACACTAATTACCTTCTGAAAATAAAGACCTCTTCAGCACTGGTTGATTAAGGTTGAAAAACTAACTCACGTTTCAGCAATATCAAACGTAACTTCTGCTTAAATCATGTTCATAATCTCATTAAATGTTACAAAAAATTCTGTAATTCATGAGTTATAATCAAAGAAGTTATTATTTTTAGAAAGTATATTTCTGTGCTTGTATCAGCGATTCTGTATTCTTTGCGATGGGGGAAAATATTTAACAGGTAATAAGGGGCATGATTTATCATGTTCTTGTATAGACCAGGCTATAAATTGCCCGATGATTGCTATACGATTTCCACATTATTTGTCTGTTTCTACTTTACCAGATTAAACAAACTTTCTAGGAGCAAATAAATCAGCTACTGTTTCAAACAGATTAGACCGGCAATTTGTTCATGAATCTCGACTGATTATCAACACCTTGAATATGTAGGTAAATTGTATATATCATGCGATCTTTAAATGCTTTCAAAGAAAATAACCAGATTTGTAATTGGATTATCGCTATAGTAGCAAATTACATTTCAAATTGTTTATTTTACCAGCAGGAAAAACGAGTTCCCCATGTTTTTTGGAGTTTTTTTTTTAAACTTTAAGCTTGGTTATTCTATAATCTAATTTTTACATAATGGGTTATATGCATGTTCTTGAATGAAGGTATGTATTGTGTTAAACTGTAAATATTTTTTATAAGATAAGGATATTTTGTATCATCTTACGAAATTTCCTCGAGTAATAACTGGATTCTTTAAGTGTTTATAAACACTAAGTAAAACTTCTTAATTAATACAATGAAAAACAGCCAGCGAGCGGAGCATGACATATCTAAAATGAATATAACTTCGAAATGGGCAAAGATAGGTACACTTTCCTAGTTTTTCTTTGCTTATTTGATTTTCTGTATAAGGGGCTGAGGAGGGAACAAAGCCGATGGAATGGCTTGCACAACTGCAATGGCTATCTATCAAAAACTGGATATAATAATTCATTGTAATATGGACAGTTATTATCACAGTCAATTTACACAAAATGCTTTACAATACAAAATCCTAACAACTTTCCAACAAGTAATATAAAACATGAATAAAATTGTATAAATCAGTGTCATGAAATAATCATCTCAAAAGCTTAAGCTGTGTATGATAAAAAAAGTTCTTCCGGTTGGACGAAAAGGAAATGCTTATACTAGGACTTTAATCAAGGTCCATAAATCTATTTTAAATTACCACATTCCATACAAATTATCAACAGATATTAATAACTTTTCCTCCCCAACTGTCAAATAAAGCTTTATTGGGCATCTATCTTAGAAATAAGACACTCTCCACTGAGATATGTATGAAAGAATACAGCTTTTCCCCTCTAAATTCCAGAACATTTTTAACTTTAAAAATATACATTTCTCACTTGATTAATGGTAATATTTATACCACTATCTCCAGGTCTGATGTAATAAACAAAATTACCTCTAATCAGGGTGTCTACACCATAAAAACTATATTTCATGTCTCCCTAATAAGCTATCTTGCGCACAAATCACATAAATAGCACACAATATGCCTACAAATAACAGGCAATATGTATCAAGTGATGTAAATAAGGCTTTTCAATGAGAGAGAATGGGTTTTCTCTGTGTATCCTGGGTGGGCAGAAGTGGCGGGGAGATAAATGTTACATCATAGATAACCTATGACATGACAAGTGCTTGTAAACATCTACACTGATCTATTGCAAAGTTAGTCTACCGTGGTTGCAATTTCTAATATATTATACACAACTTCGGTTAATATAACACTGTTTCTTTTATCCTTTTCCCCTCCCCCTTAAAATAAATAGTTTTTTAGCAGTATTTCCTCCCACCATATCAAATATGAAATGTCATCTGCATTCCGTTTGTCAAAAGAATAGATCTATAATAAGGTAACTTCCACATGGCAAATTATGTAACTGACATACAGTATGATTTTGGTGCTCCAAAGGGTATTAAAAAGAAAACATAATAAAGTTGATATGGTTGATATGGTATGTCTAATTCTGCACATTGCATGTATCAAAATAAAGACATAACATTGTAACTGGTCAAATAATTGAAACAGGATAATACAAATTTTAATATTGGGATTCTACATGGACTTATCATCAATGATAAAACTGTGATAATACATGTAGTTAGAAACATCCAACTTTGACTATAAATGATCAATTTATTTCAGGTCCTAGTATGAAGCTAGGTAACAATCCGCTTTTTGGACTAATAAAAAATTTTGATAAGCAAAATTAGAGGTTGGTATGGAAATATGTCACAGTTTTTTTCCAAATCATCGGACATAACATTTATATAAATTTCTTTGTCAAATGAATTGAACCAAAATCTTAATGCAATTTATCATGTACACACTAATATTGTTTGTTATTAGTGAAATGTTTCCAACATTATTGGTCAAACATACATATACATATATTTATTACATATGTATATATTTATGCTTCATCACCAACTGAAAACTGTTGACATCCCTATGAGTTTATGAGTATATAAAACTGTTTGATTCAACTGTGGTAGTAAATGATTTTGACTGCTTAGCTTAAATAATATTATATATACATGTATAAATGTACATTCAAGCATCTTTCTGAAAAAACTAACCTGATGACATATATAAAATGAACGATATGACTATAATAAGATTTAAAGTCACTAAAGAAGGACAGAAGACAATTAAATCTATCAAAGTTCCTCTTCATATAACCCCTTTACTTACCGGCCAAAGCTTCCATTATTAAAATCTTTCTGATAGGCCAAAGCTACCAATAATAAGATCCATATCTGACAGGGCAAAGTTTCAAATAATAAGATCCGTTCCTGACAAACCAAACCTCCCTTAAGTTTAATAAGATCATTTTTCATAAGGACAAAGCTCCAATTAATAAATTTCGTTTCTGATAGGCCAAAGCTCCCTTTAATAATATGAATTTCCAAAAGACCAAAACACCCATTATTTGGATCACTTTCTGGTACCAATAGGGCGAAGCTCCCATAATAAGATCATTTTCTACAAGGCTGAAGATGATAAAACAAGATCCCTTGCAAATGGCAAAAAGTCCCCACAAATAAAATCCCTTAAAAGTATTTAACCATCATAGATTACAGAATAAAGCAAAATTATGGCTTTGGTCCACTTAATCACAAAGTATGTCTTAATGTGTCAACAAAATGAGTTTAAATAACTCCAACAGTTTTCTAGGTACTAAGTGCATTTATTCAAATGGTAGACAAGAGTGCTAACAAATCATACAGTTTACAGCACTACTGTAGAAAGTTGCTTTAAGTTAAAAATTTGACAGACATAAAATTGATTTTAAATCTTCAGATTAATCAAGAAAGGAAACTGGTTTTTGGGTGTTATTGTTGGGGTTTTTTTCCCCATGAGAAAAAAATCATCTTTTCAGTAGACTTGTAGAATTATACAGATTTTTTGATGGCTGAAAGAAAACAAAAGTCCTTTAGCCAAGGGCAATTATATCTAGTTACCAAACTTCAATCCGAAGTTTTATACACAGTTTAATATAATGAAATACCATACATCCAGATACTATCAATCATTATATAATGTGGTACAGTATATAAAACCGGAAAGTAAAGAAAAAAAAACCCAACATATTTATCTGAACGACAGAACACATCAATGGGACCAGGCTTCTTGTATCTGTCATCACTCACATAAATATTGTAGTATATAAGTAGCTAATCTGGCTCACTTCAAAGGCTATCACACAAAATGATAAAGTTTCTAATTTGATACCGACTACAAACTGACTACTTTACAGATTTCAATCTGTTTAAATCATAGCCATGACGACAGAAAAGCTTTTAAATGCAGGAGAAAACTCCCAGTGAAATTGATGAAATCCGAGACTCACACTCAATGATACTGGTGTTTTACAAGTTTTATTTGAGGTTTCGTTTACAGATATCTGTTACAAATCTCTGGTTATACCAGTTTTAATTGCAGAACCTGTTTATGTAAACAAGAGTTACATTACATTTACTATCAGAACAACCCACAAAGGGTTTTATATGCCTTATTTTCAAAGAAATAAAGGGGAAGTATGACAGATGTTTTATTTTATCAGGGTGGAAAGTTGCTCATTGGAAATGTGATGATTATTTTTAACAAGTCTGAAAAGACCAGCTTAGGCACATAAAAGAGGTCTTTGTTAACAGGTGGCATTTCAACACAGGAAAATATTTATAATTGAGGTAATGTGACAAGTTCTACACAAATTGTATGTGGACTTTATTTGGTGTTGGTACTTCACTCAGGTTTGACTGTAGTGTAACTGACTTAGCAAATCACAGAACATCATAAGTGGAAGAATAGGGCATCCTAACAACCCCTGAATAACAAATAAAATACTTCCCATAAGGAAACAAAAGAAATGTTTCATATACTTTTGCATACCATTTATATCACATAAAACTCTTATCACTAAGTCTTCACAAAATAGTCTGGTAGCAAATCCATGAGCCATATCATTAACTATAAGATAGTAATGTCTTGTGAAACCTCATCAGAATTAAGTTAAAGTTTTTAAGTTCATCTGTACCATCTATAAAACAACAACATGTTTATTCAAGTATAAAATACTTCTTCCATTAAGTAAGAACTGGCTGGTAAAATATAATAAACTTTGTTTCATTTCAAGTTTTACTACATTAACTTTCTGCTACTGTTTGTGTTCAACATTATTTGCCAACCAATAAAAACACTCTTATGTTTAAAAATGCTGTTTAGGCAAATTACTTATTGCTAATAGCTGAGTTGATTTTTGTTTGTTGGGTTTTACATCACACCAACACAGAATAGATCATATGGAGATTTTCAAGCTTTACAGGTGGAGGAAGACCTCAGGTGTCATTTCCTGTATTATTCCAGGCATGAATGGGCACCTGAGAAGAACCACCGACATTCCGTAAAGTATCTGGACAGCATCCTCTCATGAAAGACTCTAAAAGTCCCCGTCAGGATTCAAACCCATAGCAGTGAGGGGCAAGTGGTTTTAAGTCAAAAACTATAACCACTCGGCCATTGACTTCCCAGCTGAGTTGGAGAAAAATTTCCTTAAAGTCCTTGGCAAGAAAAACATAGGCATAAGACACCATTCCCCAGGCAATTAAGAAATAAATTAAAGTGACATTATGCTCATATTTTCATAGTCAAGTTGAGCTGAATTGACTGACTGTCAAAATGGTGTTTGACCAACAGTTGATTTTGGAAAATGTTTTGGATAAAATTATAAATCTGCCTAAAATTTAAAAAGACTGCCCCACTCTTTTTATAAACTAAGCATTAAAGGTAAATTCTAATGGATATTTACAGAAATTTCATTTGGATCTGTGTGTTATTTATTGTTTATGCGAACTTAATTATTAAATTGATAAGATTTATGGCAAAATGAAAACTTATTTTGATCTTCACCCGTTCACTCACTATATACCCTTGGATGGGCATAATGTTACTTTAAACAAATGCATGCTGTACCCAGAGATGTGTGTTTAAAACTCTGGTTATTGCATTGTGGTTGAACTTTAACTAAGTTAGCTTTCTTAGGGGCTCTTAGTTAAAATTGCAGTTTTTCAACAGAACCTATTTACACCATAATCATGCATTAGATTAAACAGCCAACACTGGTCGAAGGGAGACAAATGCAATAATGTCTCTAACAGTGATAACAGAGTACTGAAACAAAATTCTTAACTTTGCTCAATTTTCTTCTCCACTAACCAATAAAACATTCAGGAATCATGGCTCATAATCAAGCTAATTAAGTACTCAGAATATCACACACTTCTTATTAAATAACACAACAATGACTGCATCTATAACCTTGCTGGACTGCTTTTTTAAAGGTTCATTTGTGCATCACTAGCACCATGTACAATGGGATGACCTCACCCTGGCCCCTACCCTACCTACTTGGGAGAGCTGCCACTTCTAGTATTGGACTACCTGGCCACTGCACTACCTAGAGAACTACTGGACTATCAGACAGAAATCACGCTAAATACCCTTACACTGCCACCTGGACATATTCCAAACCAATCTTTTTGCCGAAACAAAACCACCAAATTAAAACCCTGCAGCATGGAGAAAGATGAAAGGTTAAGTCTTGGCTCATTTACCTAACTATCCATTGCACTACCCTAAAGATTTGGGGTCTTGTTATATTTCACAGGTGCATTTCCCTAGGTAAAATATGGTATCATCATATGATGACAGATAAATCTATACAGTATGACAAGGAATGAAAAATCTATTACACAAATTGACTGAACCATGCAAGATTTGATATATGTATATATTCAAATCTTTATGGCAGTGGGACAAGTATCAGTAAAGTAACCATTACTAGTACTTATCATAGTCATATAGCATGCAAATCGTGACACACTGGATATATTACAACATATACTGCAACAGTACAGATATATCTAAATAAATATAAGGTATGCATCAAATTTACTAAACTTACCTGTCAATAATCAAAACAAACAATTTAAAGGACATAAAAATGTGGAGAAAAACGGGCTCAGATAACAACTTTTTTTAGAAAGAGCAATATGTATACTTTATGTATACTAAAAATGTTCAGATAAAATTTTTAAGGGACACAAATGTCAATTTACATCGGGAACTTTCATCTTATTTTCAATAAAGGTTTCCCAGATGGATAAATGCATGTTAGAAAACACTGTTTGCTTAAGCCCATCAAACTGTGTTTTCATCTTACTTTACTATACTTACTTTCATAGATGTATCATCAAATAAACTTTATATACAATCACAAAATTCATCATTACCAGTGCTAACCAAACTAGTATCAATATAAAATAACAAACACAAATTCACTTACCATTTCGATACGTCATTTGCATATTTAATAAATACATATATGAAATTTATTACTTATTTCTACATACCTTAAAAATATAAAAACTTGTATTTATTTAGAAATATTTTGTTCTGTTTAGTTGTCGTTCAGCATAGTGGGGATCAGTCATACGTTGCCAATCCTGCTGGGTTTGACCGACAACAAATCCAACATCACGACGGTATGCCGTCTCCTTCCTTTCTTCCAAATCTGCCCATCTCACCTGATATATAAATATAAACAAAAGCTTTTGAAAACTTATTTTAACAGCCATTTGCATAGGTAGAAATTCATATCATAATATCAATAAACTGGAAAACACTTAATTTAGTGTAATTGGGCAATTATTGGTTACATGTAGAATTAGGAGTATTAAAAATCTATACTTCAAGCAAGTATCTGAAAACTTTTACCCATTCATTTGTTTTGCATATTATAGATGTAATTACCATAGAAAATAATAGTTAGTTTAATGCAAGTAAATACAAAAACTGTAATATTCTAACATATCTGTACTTTTTGTAAAAGCATAAAAAATAATACTATATTAATTTACAGTCCTGCAAAAAAATGAAAAAGACACATCTTTGTGGCATTTTTAATGAAATCTCACTATTTAAATCATCTTTTTTAGGCAGAAAATCTACAATAAATATCTACAAAGTATTTCTACAATTCTTTCCATTAATGAACTACTAGAATGATATTGGACATATACATGTATACAATAGACATCAACATAAAAAGTTACCCTTTTCTTTCCCGGGTCCCTCATTTGTTTGGCGAAGTATTCATCAGCCACCTGCAACAGATCTTCCATGGAAGCTTTTGAGGACACTTGTGTATGCTTCTTCATGTCATGTTTTAAACCATCCAGTTTGTCTGCAAACAAAAATATCGCAGGTTTTTACCCGTCCTAAAAAATGTCATGATTCAAACCATCCAGTTTGTCTACAAACAAAAATTTTGCAGGTTTTAAACCATCCAAAACATGTGATGATTCAAACCATCCTTGATTTAACACGTTTGATACTACTTTTTCTCCAAAAATTCTAACAAATCACTAATGTCAGAGAGAAAGGACAAATTAAACTTTTAACAGCATTGTATTCAATCCAAATGCTACAAACTATGATAAAGGCTCTTTGCCATGACCCTTGATTAAGGTTCTATCTTAGAAATATTAATTAAATAACTGGCTGTCTCCAAACTAAGCCAATCTTTAGAGTTAAGAATTATCGACCCTCAAGAGTATGTTTGTGTGGTGCCATATTGGTTATTTCTCAAAAAAGTCATCACAATGGCAAACATCTTCTTATATGACAAAAATGTAACAAAAATAGATATAACAACTCTTAAAGGAAATAGAGAGTGGCTTTAGGTTAATTATGACAATACCAGACATAAGTCAATATTTAATAGTACATTAGGGTACATATTTTTCAAATATACATGCACATGACATTTAATTGGTTGTGTCACTTCATGTCTTTCCTCATCGTCGGTTACCCATGGTATATATTCCGTACATACTACATTGGTACGGAATATATACCGTGGGTAACCGAGGATGGTCTATCCTTCAGTACAAACTATATGCATACCAAAACAATTCCCACAATAACTTCAAGGTAAAAATTCATTAAACTATGACATGGTTATAAGTTGTGCTGCATAGAAAATCTACAGAATTTAAATCCCTTAAGACACATGTATAGAGCGTTTACAAGATGGACATCCATACAGTTTGTCAGACCAGACTCTATACTTATAGTTTCTTAATATTAAAATACAATATTTTAGCACTAAAGCTCTCAAGCTGAAAATGGATTTTCAGAGTTCAAGTCCTTTATGGAATGTATGTAAAACCTATTACTGGTAGTCTACTTGAAAGATTAGTTATTTCTAAACACTGATAAGCATGCTAAACAACAAAAGATGTAAACTAAAATTGTACATTTAGACAAATACTGTCTTTACATAGCATACAACCTTTGCATACCAACAAACTAAAAACAACAGCGATACAAACACATAAAGACACATGAAAATAATACAACAAGATTTGAGTGTTCATGGTGCTCAAAAACTTTCAAACAAAAATCATACCTAAGGAAACATAGCATCAAACAGCATGGATTTCCAGAGAAAATTTTCAACACAGTAGATGTACCAGACGAAAAACCTAAAGCCAAAATCACCTTTCCAGCTATCAACAACCAAACTACCACAAAAACTCTTATGAAAACTCCAAAATTTAGAATTGTTATGGGCAAGACAGGGACACCAGCCTTAAAATTCAACAAAAAGAGACCATCCAAATCAAATGTAGAAACTACCACCAACACACATCTTGATTCCTACACCAATCTCGCCGTTACCACCTACTCCAATGCACAGCAGACCAACAACACCAACTGCAAATTTTGAGGAACCCTCCCATCATCGAGTACAGAAACTGTTTGCCAAGACGAGTATGGTATGTTCAGTGAAACAAATGAACTCATAATAAACATTGGACAGATTTATGGGTATTAAAACAAAGCATAATTAACTTGTGATTCTTTTTATTCTAACAATATACATGTTATACTTAATGATAAGCTCGTTGGAACAGTGCCAAAACTATATCTATTATTAGTAACAATACTTCTATTTATAGTAACAAAACACAAAAAAGTATCCCTAAATATTAGTACTTCAGTAGTTAGAATTTGATATTTTTTAAGCCTGATGAAGAGTATTGTATTACTCGAAACTAGTAGCCAATAAAAACTTTTAAAACTTGACCTGGTGTTGTACGTGTGTTCCTCACCTACTTTACTTATTATTTTAACAAACTAAAAAGTCAAATCAGAAATTATTTTAGGGACAAATTTTATAACTCCACAAGAGAATGACAACTTATACAAATATAAATAAAACCCGAATGTGCAAAAGATCATTCTATTCTAATTTGCAGGATGAATTTCAACTACCAAAGCTTGAATAATTTCATCTAGGTTCTGTTCAACCTAAGCATAAAACTTTTGATGAACTAGAATAAGAATATCTGTCATATGTTGCAGTTTAGATCGAAGGGTACTGACCCATGGACGAGTACCTAATAGACAGATATTCCGATCTGAACGGCAAACACATGTCTGTCAGGCTGTCATATCTTTTTTTCTTGCACTGTCTTCCACATTTTATAATATTTTAAATGATTGACCACAATAAAATATTTTTTCATGGATTTTGGAAATTTATATATTTTTATCTATAACTATTTTCTTACAAAAGCATATGAATTTACAATAAAATTCATAATGGCGAAATGACATCATCCTAGGCACACAGTTTCATTCATAAAATGTGCTAAAATGATGTCATTTTAAAGCAAATGACTCATCTGGCAGCCCATATGCCACATGAAATTTTCAGCAATAGTTAAAAAAAACTATCGAAAAACACGATTCTGATAAGCAAGAAATGTGATTATAAGCAATGATACCTCCACATTCCACTGTTCTGTCAGTCTACTGACAGAATGTGTCACAGCTTGAAAGACAGATAAGGGAATATTATCCCCCCCCCCAGGTATTTGGGACATAAAAAGCAAACTTTAAGCACTACTGTTACCAAAAGAATTCTAAAAGCTGAATATGATTTTATATACAAGCACAGAATTCTACCTGAGGAAATTAATTAATAGGGTGGGCAAAGTTTCAATTAAATTAATAGTAACCTTAAAAACAACATTGAAACAGACAGATATAGAAAAAGTATACCCATACTTTCTTTATACACATGCTTTTCTGATATTTTCTATGTTTCTTTTTTCATACTTCACATTTAAACACTTACCCAAATTTCCTTCAGATAAATCTAACTCCCATTTACTTTTCTTGAATGGCTGCAAAAGCAAATAAACAATGTTAACTTGTGAACACTTTCTATTTTTTTTTCAAATACTACAGTCATATTGTATATCAATAGTAAAATTATATATCAAATTTTCCCAAACAATAGTAAAAACGTACTATGTAAAAGAAAAAGACTTCAATACTTACAGTTTACGATATAACTGATATTTCAACTGAAAAAAAGCCATGGCTTAATTTGACAACTGGCATAATACACCAAGTTTTCTAGTAAATGTACAAACGTGTAAAACCTTTTACAGGGAAACGTGATTTTTTGGCTCTTTTCTTTTCTAGGAAATGATATACATTGTACAAACATTTCTCTCTAGGAGATGATGTTATATACCTTGAAAAAAGCTATCTCAAAGTTGGTCAATAAGATATTCATTATTATAAATAACAGGGAATACTGCAATGAAATGGCTAAGGAAGCATTAAGAATATGGGGCAGTTGGAAGAGAAGAAAGGATTCAATGACAGTTAACTTTGTTATAAGGTACCATTTGTTGACATAAAAAAGCACAACAAATAACAGAGATATGCAGCAACAGAGCTTGCTATATCAAACCATTCAATCCCCATCCTGTACACAAATGCATAAAAAACATTTGGTTTTTAAATTGGTATATATAAATATATATAGACACTTGTGAATATATAAATCTATGATAGGGAAATGTAAGAAACATGTGTACAGTATCCATTGGGATCACAAACACTGTATAAACCACAGAAAAAAAACAGGAAACTTGACAAAATATGAATTTTTCCATGTTCAAAATTTCCAAACAAATGTATATTATTATTCGATGAAATAATATACACTTTTCAATTCAAATTCAAATTAAATAAATAAAGTAAATTGAATACTATCATAAATGTACAAGTATTATCCAACTTTGGGTGCTTGCTGTTAAAAAGAACAATAACTTCAATTAACTGCTTACAAGAAATATTTCCTCAAACTCGTAACCTTGTGCATTCATGCACACAAAGAATATCAAATATGAGTATCGCTGTTATTTTCAAACACATAACACAATATCTAATTTTTAGAATATTGATAAAATGGCAAGAATCACAAAAACTTGGAATATTTAAAGATGTAAATTATCACTTCCTATTGTCTACATAAGATGTAAATTGTCACTCCTTTTAAAAATGTCATGTTATACTTGTTCATCTTACATAGTCCCACCCACTTTTCTAAGAGTAACATAGTACCACCCACTTATCTAAGAGTAACATAGTACCACCCACTTTTCTAAGAGTAGATAAATCAGATATTCCCACCCACTTTTAAACATCTGTTTCATTTCTATAGTTTAAATAATCCCACCCACCTGGTGATATTTTACTGATATACAGTAATCTTAATTTTCAAACACTCCATTAGGCACTACAGTAGATATTCATACTTTGACCTCTATCAATACCTAATATTTTATTCATATCCAACCCCCATTTTTGTCAATCTGTTGATTTTGCTTTGCATTTACTTTGTACTTTTGATACAAATTTTTCCCACCCCCTATTCTATCATTTGTAAGTATACAATACTTAAATTTTTTGGAACTGGTCTATCACTTGTAACTAGCATTTCCCACCCCCACTTCTATTACTTTGTAGTTACACAATATTTAACTTTTCCCACCCCCACGTCTTCCATTTTGCAGCTTTGCAATATTAAAATTTCCCCACCTCCATTTGGACAAGAAATCGATTTACCACCCACTCCATCTTTATAAATAACATATAATATTTAAGTTGTAACTATAAAACATGTGTAAAATGAAATTTTTGTATTTACTGTTAAACATATTGAAATCCACCCTCTATTTTTAACATAACCACCCTCTTTTTTTAACATAATAGTATGTTTAATAATTTTACCCACCCTCTATAGACATAATTCAGACTAGAGCATGTCAAAAGTTTTATGTACATGTATATCAAAATTAAATTGAAAAAATTAATGATCACACACACAAACATTCCTTTCTCTGAAATGTCTGCGAAATGTAAATAAAATATTTTCTCTGGTACTTACATACATGTCACGGTATGGTATCATCATAGTCTAGAACCTGTATTTGATTGTGAACAAAATCAGTACATTATAAACCATGCACTATCCCATAATTCCTTCAACTTACCACAGCCTCGTCCTCCTCCTCTTCTTCACTTGGCTTCTTGGCGACGGCAACTGGGGGTCCTGACCCACTCTCTGTGTCCTCCATCTCCACCTTATAATATCAATGAATTAACAATAACATGTGTGTACAGATCGCATAGGAGTAAAAGACCAAATAAAAGCATAGGAGTGAAAGAGATGAATAAAAAACCAAATAAATGCATCCAAAAAAAAAGCATAGGAGTAAAAGACCAAATAAACATGTAAAAGTAAAAGACCAGGGAAACGTATAAGAAAATGTTCAGCATAAATTCAACTAGAGCTTTCACTAAATGTGATTAATACCCCCACTAGACTACTTCGGAAATAAGGAAGTTACTAGTAACAAAATACATTGTAAAAGATTTAACATTGAGTTATCGTTGTGGGCAATTAAAGATAGTTGTATGAAGTGGCAATGAATTCCAAACATTAGTTTTTAAGTTATGTACCAGACATGGAAAAGGACAGAAGGAAATAACTCTGCAAATACTGAAGATGGAGTTATGGTTATTGTACACTGCACTTCATCTCATTGTGCTTGACCATTTTATGAAGTTGCATTGAATTCAAACCATTAATTTTCAAGTTATGCACTGGACAATAAAAAGTAACAAAGGGCAATAACTCTAAAATAAGTCAAGAAAGAGTTATGGTTTCTGTGCACTGTCCTTCCTCTCAATATACTTGACAATTGTACAAACATGTATTGATTGTTTGTTTGTTTTGGGTTTTAAATCAAATCAACACAGTATAGGTCATATCGCGACGTTCCAGCTTTACTGGTGGAGGAAGTGCATTATTTCAGGCACGAACAGGCACCTGAGTAGAACCAACGACGTTCCGTACGCTAGCTAAATAGCTTCCTCACATGAAAGAATCCAAAGTCCCTGTCAGGATTCAAACCCACAGCGGTGAGGGGCGATGTGGTTTGAAGTCAACAACCTTAACCACTCGGCAACGGACGCCCCTACTTGTATTGAAGTCCAACTAGTAGATTTCATGTTATGCTCTGTGACAAGGAAAAGTAACAAAGAGCAATCACTCTATGACTACTAAGGAAAGTTATGGTTCATGTGCACTGCACTTCCTCTTATTGTGCTTGACCATTGTATGAAGTTGCATTTAATTCAAACCATTTGTTTTCAAGTAATTCATTCGACAAGAAAAAGTCATGAAGGGCAATAACTCTGTGATTAGTCAAGATGGAGTTATGGTTCTTGTGCACTGCACTTCCTCTCAATGTGCTTGACCATTGTATGAAGTTGTATTGAAATCCAACCTTTAGTTTTCAAGTAAAGCTCCAGACAAGGAAAATGCAACGGACCGCTGGACAGACAGACAGAACGACTGACCACTGGGTGACCCCTTCCCCCCCCCCCAACTTTATTTTGGGGATATTATTATCAAAAACACAATTACTTTTACAAAGCATGAAAACATAAGAATGTTTAATGAAATACATTCATATAATATTCAAAATGATAAGCAATCAAATAACAGAATTTTGCAAAGTGAATAAATAATGAGCAACCTACCTCAGTAATAGAATCTTCCTGTAATAGAGTTCTGATGTCTAGTTTAATGTAATGTCCTGGTGTTTCTTCCCACTTGTTCTGAAGCTATAAATAAATCATATCCATTTTATTTTCAAATAATTCTTACCATCAACACCATTAAAGGTACTCTCCACTGCAGTGTTATAGATATATTTTTTTTCTAGTTTTATGCATCATTTGATGAAAGTCTGAACCAATTACGTGTGTGCTAACTTTTAGATCATTCACTCACCCTGTTTTTCTAGAATAATCATCTTCTAATAATAATCATAATAATCATGGGTTTTGTTTGAGCCAAAATGAAGAGTTTAAACACTTAATATTAAATCCAGCTAAGAATTGCCCTAAAAGTTAATTTCAATTTAATACTGAGTATATTTCTTTATTATCTTTTGCTCATTTGTCCACTTAAACTGCATAAGCTGATTTATGTAGGAAGGGTCAGATTTTTTCAGGCTTGTGGATCTCAGTGAAGCTGCTTCAAAGTCATATGGCAACTTTTCAGGTGAAGAAAGACACCTAACAAGAACAAACCTTAACTAGCTGGAAAAGTTTTTTCACATAAAAATAATTCTAAGTCCTTGGTAGGATTTCAAACCAATAAGACTGAAGAGTAGTGATTTGAAATCAGATATCTCTATCTATAATGTTTCCAATCTCATCAATATACTAATATACTTGTAGAACTTTTATTAAGCAATCATTAATTTTCAAATGAAATGAAATCCGTTGAAAGTATGGAAGAAATTTGTTGTTTTGTTTATTTGGTTTTATGACGCACCAACAAAATTTAGGTAATATGGTGCTGAAACATGAAATATGATTTTGGCTAACCTTGGGTGTTAAAAATTTAAAGCAAGACTAGGGGCCTTAAAGATCCTGTATGTTTTGTGATTGATATTGTTACTGTGTGTATACCACACTTACAAGAAATTATATATGTATATAATTAAGCAAATAAATCAATTTTCTAACATTGAAAAATATGTAAAATATGTACTGCTCATATTTGTGCACATTATATGTACACAATAAATAATATGCATTCATTTCTTATTGGAAAAGTGGACTTAAAATTTATAGAAAATAAATTTCTAATTACCTCCCTTTATTTACATGAAATGTTAAATTCGGTAATATCTTGATAAATAATGCTTATTGAGAGTTACAATATTGACAAATCTTAATTTGAGCATCATATTTATGAAATAAAACCATAAAAATATTGTGTTACAGGATCTTTAAAGGCAACCCCTCAGCCACAAGGGGGTTGTTGTTTTGTAAATTCTGACAATGGTTAATTTAAAATTATATACTCACACAACTTTTTCAAGGAGTAATAAATCAGAATTTTTCATTAACTCTTCTTTTACTGATACTATAATGTGAAATTTTAATACAACAATTAGTCTTACCTTCTCTATCTCTCTTTGGGTACGTTTATGAGTATTTCTCTTAGAGCAGATCGCAACATCACATTGTAGTTCAACTACATATACCTGTATTGATATTAATATTAAAATGATAACACCAAACAATACATGTATTTTCTAGTTATTTTACAAGGATTTCTATAGTATACAATTTCTGTTTTTGGAGCTTAAGAGTATTGTTTCTTCTTTATTTAACTGCAATGACCTATATTTATGAATTTGATTGAGGCAACAAAGTATCAAACAAATATGCTCAAAATGGTAGAATGATTCAATATGATTTTATGTCAAATAATTTTGTTTTTCCTATGTTGTCTTTCCCATCACTTCATATATGACTATCAGAATGCAGATGTGCATTATGACCTATGCCAACTGTCTACATTTAGTTTCATTCTTTAAACTTTCCTATCTGGCTTGTACTTATATGCCTGCCTTCTTTAAGGAATGACCCTGTCTATCCTATACATTATGAAATCACTTTTGAGAAGTGTTACTGACCTACATCAAAATGTATGCATCAGCAAAATATTTCAGTCCCTGTTGCAAAAGCACAATTTCTGATACAGAACTTAAGTTTTTACAAACTATGAATAGTAACTGTGAGTAGTAGATTATGTCAGGCATTGCCTATACCCAATCCATTCGTATGATAATGACACTGAAGTGACCAGGGCTCAGATAACATCCTCAATGCTGTCATAAAAGCAAACTCACTATAATAACAATTTTCAATCTTTGGTATGACAAAGTCAGGAATAAAACTAGAGACTTTTCTTATACATGTAAGAATGAAACTTGTAGAAAACATTCACAATCTTACCTGAAAGCCTTTTGATTTAGCATAACTCCAGAACTCTTCAAAGTGTTTTATTCTATCAAATACAGCATCAACAATTATAAAAGGAAAAAAGCCGTCATCTATAGTCTTTTTAAAGCTCTTTAACATATTCTGTCTATATGCACTTTCCATTTCTGCCTCGTATTCATACTCTAAAACCTGACAATATACAATCACAGAAAATCTCAAATCAATCAATGAAATACTGAAAGCATAAACATTACCAAGCAAATTTTCACCAATGGGCTTGGCCTGGTTTGTGTTTTACTGTCAATTGTTTATTTAGTGATCTTGGTGGCATAGGCATTGCTAAGGTTCAAAATTTTTAATAATTATAAGTTATTTTTTCAATGAAAATTATATGATGAACTTGGCATCTAAACATAGTTGATATTTTTTTTAAATTTCAAGCAAGCTAAGAGTTGTCTTATAAAGCATGCCATCAAGATATGTTTATTCAAAATCAAATAATGCAGATTGTCCTGCACAAATAGGCTCTTATAATATTACCTTTTTCTTGACACGTTTTCCACTTTCTGGATCTTTTTCTATTCTGTCAACTTCTATCATAAAATAATCATCTAAACACAACATTCTAGGAGCACTTCCTCCATTTGAAACCTCTTTGTCCTACAATACATTCATAAGTAAGTTACATATAGAGTTATGTTACTTTGAGTAATATTAAAATCCACAACAGTGATGGGTCAGTTGTTTTAAAGTTGACAACTTAAACAAATCAATAGAGATAAATCTCATGAAACAAGGGAAACCTTTTGAAATAGTTATCTCCCTTTGAATAACAGAATGCTTAAATATGATAACTCTTATAAAACAAATCCATCTTATTTTGAAAAAGTTATCTCCCTTTGAACACAATTTTTTTTTGTATCTCTCATAAATCAACTGTCATTGCAGATACTGGCATCACTGTGTAGAGCGAACGCCAGAAGAAGAGGAATATACAAGATGTTATCTCTCTTTGAATACAAAAAACATTTAATTGGAGCATTACAAACAAGGAGTAGATGCATACCTTGATAAGTTTGCTGACGTAAGTTTTACCGGAGCCTGGCAAACCTCGGACAACAACAACAATCTGTTGTGGTCTACTTGAACGTCCAGGTGTACACAATATGTCCTCAACCTGTTATAAACAATAACAATACAACTGAAACTTAATAATACAGTTATCTAAAACAATACCACAGAAACTTGGTAAAACAGTTATGTAAAGTATGAGCTGTTAATATTCAAATGAAGTTAAAAATATATTCAAAGGATTTGGCACAATATTCATTCCTTCTCTAATTCCTAATTTCTTTTCCGTTCTCTAATAAAGTACTCCCCGCAGGTACCACGTCCTTGCCCATTCCGATGTTATCAGAAAATTTGTTTCTTTACACATTGAATGCCACCAAACACTGTTTCCACCATTAAAGTGAAAGTGGAAGTGCTGCTTTTGTGAATTAGGATAGAAATTGTTAGAAATTTTTTCATTTCAAATAAATTCTGTCATTGATAGGAAAGTCCAAAGCTGCCCTTGCGTGTTGAAAATACTTCTTTATTTTACCCCATATTTAACGGTTAAACTTATAATTTCATGTTCAGACAAGTGAAGGTCGTCTGCTGAAACTGTAGTGACATCATAATCTGTTACAAAAAATTATACCGAAGCCAAAAAGGGCCATCAATTAACATACCACGGTACCATAATGCTCTCCGTATAAGCTCCCATTCAAAACATGGCTGACTGACCATAGATGTTTCTAATCATTGAGTTATTCTATGAATGACATGTGTATTTTAAAGTCAAGATGAGACAGCTAAACACAATTCAATAAAATAGTAAATACAAGTTCTTTTTATTTGTACAATTTGCTGGAAATAATAACAGTGGTACCATAGGGGACCATCCTACATTATAACTGTTCAATTATACATGTACATGTATATAGAAAAGGATATGTCAATATAACATATGTATATATATATATAATCATTTTCTAATATGTTTCTGAAAAAACACACAAAAAAACAGCAGTTTTCTAACAAAGTTTCAAGAATTTAATATTCTTACCTTGACAACCTCTACTTTGGGCTCTGCCCTAGGAGGGGGTCCTGGTGGGGGGCCAGGGGGTGGCCCTGGAGGATTTCTGCTGATAAAGGGTGACGGAAAGTTCCTGAAATTTTAAAAAAAAACCAACATTTGATTAATTTCTTTCACATTAACATAGGAGTTTATCAAATATTCAGCTTTCCACATATTTTTAAAGGTAAAACACTTTTACATAAAAAAATAAGGATATCATATCCTTTTTGGGCTGAAATTTTACATTTATATACTCGATGCTGGTTCAGTATTTAGACAAAACTGCCTCTTTTGCAAAGAACGACTATTTGCTAATATCTATAGTTTGTCTAGCCACATATAACTGCAAATATGTTAGCCTAAATTAATAGTAGCAGTAAAGGTGCTTTATAAAATCTTTGTGAGGGCATAAAGTATGTAGGTTACATCATCCATATAAAATTACTGTAAAACACTTATTATTCGCGAGAAATTTATTTTCGCTAATATTCGCGAGTTTTCTAAGACGCGAATTCATATTTCTCGCGAATATTTCACGTTGTCTATACACTTGTCCAAAAATGAACACTATCCGAAAATGCGTACACGTATATCTGCGGGAAAGTATCAAAACCAGTTCTAGTTACATCATGTAGCTATTCAAGTGTTGCAGCATTTACTATCGTACAGATTTCTAGTATGAAAAATTTACCTGTAACAATTTGGTATTATTGAGGAATTGGAAAAAAACTTCTTCGCTGCATATTATCTGTGTCAAGGAAGGCAACTGTGACTTGCACTAGACTTAAGTATAAACAAATTAATGCGTCTCAGAAGATTTTAATGGTATTTCTACAGATTGTTCTAATTGGTACAAATACTTTAGCACCTGCGAGTTGTTTGTAACATTTCTATTTATTGTATCCTATTGTATTGTACTACAGTTTAAGCCGGAGGGTAAACATAATCGTTTACTACAGGTTAGGCAAATAACAGTACCGTTTAATTGATTTTTCGTCTGATTGCCTTTGAATGGCTAATCTGTGAAACTTTAACACAGTGAACATATATCAAATAATTATCAAACTTTATTGACATATTTATAAACAGACGGTTTCACTTAACAAGAAGATGAGCAAGCTATCAGAAAAATCGATGCAGATATAAATGCATTCGACGCACAATAAACGACGCAAAGTTAGTGAACGGACAGGACAGAAAATATCCGAATGATGACATCGGGTTTCCGGTTTCACATTTTTCGGGAAGACGCAAATTCATGTTGACGCTAAATAATTATTTTGGACATTTTGCCTCAATTTCGCGAAATAAGGTTCTCGCGAAAAATAAGTGTTTTACAGCATGTCTTTATTTACAACATACCTGTCCATTGGAGGTGGAGCTCTCTGACTAAAGTTTTCTGAAAAGATAGAATGAATATGATGGAAGATTATCTACCATAAATCTGAAAATAACCAGAATTAAACAAGGCATCACATAACAATAGATGATTTTAATGTCACATGTGTCGAAGGACACTTTTCTCCCTTCTCATAGAAGTAAAATAATGTTTTTTTCAAAATACCTTATACATGGAAAAACAAACCAATGGAAATACTCCTTGTATTATTTATGAATCAAGATATGGAAATAGTTTCACAAGATTATCAATAAAAAAATTTCACGGCATTCTTGACATTATGCTTCAACATGAGACTTTTACCTGAAGACGAAGTTGGTGGTGCCCCACGGGGTGGGAAATTATTGTCCGAGGACTGACCATGAGCATAGTCTATAACTGCTGGAGCCTGGTACCCGCCTCTTTCCTCTGAAAACATTTATATTGGTTATCATATAAGCATCTTTCTTAAAGTGACATTTTGTCCATCAAGGTGTATATCATGAGTGCACAGGTTAAAGTCAAAATAACTTTACACTTTGCCATAATTATGTTGTTGTTTTTTTCCATATTTTACAATGCAAACATATTCAATAATCCACATGACCCACAGAAAGTTTTGAAGAAAGTATCTGACAGAATGTATCATTAATCTTCAATATTTAAAGAGAATGGCGCAGTCGGAGTTTTTATATTTCATTCCAAAGATTTTTTATTACCATTTTGGGTAAAACATCATCATAATAAGTCACTCTATTGAAATATATTGCTTATTCAACTCACCTTGACAGTGAAAAGAAATGAGCATAATGTCACTTAAACTTTTGTGTTTGGAACTGTTGACTGATAAGTTTAAAGGATCTTTAATACCACAATGCTAAAATTTGACCGCGAATAGTGTAGAATCTGTTTTTACTATATGACTGTGCAGGCTGGCTGGTCACTGTACAAGCAACATACGCAGCAAGTCATTATCAGCACTAACAGTTGGTGAACTAATATTCTATGTATTCTAAGTGAGATGAAATTCTTCCGAATATAGTTAACAGACGTACTGTCTTATTTTTTTATTTTAGACCTGTGTTCTTTATCAATATCAATAGTTTTAGAGCTTGTTACCTCTATCTTGACCAGTGGGCTTATGGCCATAGTCAATTGTCTCTGCAGGCTTGAACACACTTCTCTCTGCCGGCTCAGGGGGGACTCTAGCATAGGGATCAAACCTGTCATCAAATCGTCTGCTGGAAAAGATACAAAACAGGATATAACATTAAACCTTCAACACCTAGATTTGTTGCTTTGGAGCAATCTATTTATAACTTGAAGTGTATCAATATCAAAAAGCTGAAACTGAATAGCCAACAACAAAAAAAATATGGCCAGACTACACAAATTAATAAAGAACATTAACTAAAATTGATCTATAAAAATATAAATACATGTTAATGTGAAGAAATAGGTGCCTTAAGCCACTTTGTAATCAAATGGGTTTGAAAAAAAATAATCATGGTATCATGATGGTTGAGAATGCATTTTAAGAACCATTCAATTATCAAACCTATAAGGATCATCGTATGGTCTTCTTGCATATGGATCATATGGATCTCTGTAGGGATCAGGTCTAGCATAAGGATCTCTTCTATCCCAATAGGGATCCCGTCTGTCAAGGTAAGGGTCTCTGTAAGGATATCTGGCATAGGGATCATCCCTTCTTAGTGGCGGCTCTTCTCTATCGTATATCCCTCGCCCTCTTTCCTGTAATCAACAAGTTATAAATAACATTTAGATAAACAAAGGGGAAAAATTAAATTTATTTATAAAGAAAAATATATAAACTGGAAATGTATTCCAATATTTCTTTATCAAGACACTTAACCTGCAATGCTTTTTGTTGTTTTTTGTTGATGTTTTTTTTAAGTAACAACTACATTTTTAAAGGTCATATAGCAACTTTCCAGCTGTACTGAGAGAAGAAGAGCTCAAGTGCCTCCCTATGCATTATTTCAGGTGCATCGAGCGCCCAAGTACCACCACCAATACTCCAAATGCGATCTTAACCCTCAACCACAGAGGACCCAAGCTACATGAAATTTTGCTTAAACTTCATAGTTGTATACATATATTTCTCTTTAAATTCAATATACAGTAAACTTCACTTTTACACGGTTATAGCGAACTTTCGGTTATAAGGAACAATTTATTTTGGCCCGAATTTTGCCCTTCTTTATCTAATACAAGAGGGCCATGATGGCCCAAAGTCGCTCACCTGTATATAGGCCCCTGGAGCGGGGCCAGTTTAAACCCCAGGGCTTTTATTTGAACAAACTTGGTTGTATATGTATGCATATATATATATATATATATATATATATATATATATATATATATATATATATATATATATATGTATATATATATATATATATATATATATATATGTATGTATATGTATATATATACATATACATACATATATATATATATATATTATATATATATATATATATATATATATATATATATATATATATATATATATATATATATATAAATATTAAATATATATGTATATATATAATATGTATATATCTAAAAAAAAAAAAAGTCAAGCTAATGAATGACCCCTGGGCGGGGCCAATTTTGACCCCAGGGCTTTTATTTCAACAAACTTGGTAGACACCCATGAGAACATGTTTCATGCTAAATATCTTAGCTCTAGCTCTTTGAGTTCTTTAAAAGAAGATTTTTTAAGTTTTTACTATATGCACATAGGGAAAATCAATGACCCCCGGGGTGGGGCCAATTTTGACCCCAGGGCTTTTATTTGAACAAACTTGGTAGACACCCATGAAAACATGTTTCATGCTAAATATCTTAGCTCTAGCTCTTTGAGTTCTTTAAAAGAAGATTTTTTAAGTTTTTACTATATGCACATAGGGAAAATCAATGACCCCCGGGGGCGGGGCTAATTTTGACCCTAGGGCTTTATTTGAACAAACTTGGTAGACACTCACTAGAAGATGTTTCATGCTTTATATCTAAACACTAGCTATCTGGGTTTTTTCAAAGAAGATTTTTAAGTTTTTGCTATACACAGTCATATAAGGAAAATCAATGACCCCCGGGGCGGGGCCAATTTTGACCCTAGGGCTTTGATTTGAACAAACTTTGTAGACACTCACTAGAAGATGTTTCATGCTTAATAGCTAAACTCCAGCTATTTGGGTTTTTTTTAGAAGATTTTTTAAGTTTTTGCTATACACATATAAGGAAAATCAATGACCCCCGGGGCGGAGCCAATTTTGACCCCAGGGCTTTTATTTGAACAAACTTGTTAGACACCCATTAGAACATGTTTCATGCTAAATATCTTAGCTCTAGCTCTTTGAGTTCTTTAAAAGAAGATTTTTTAAGTTTTTACTATATGCATATAGGGAAAATCAATGACCCCCTGGGGCGGGGCCAATTTTGACCCTAGGGCTTTGATTTGAACAAACTTGGTAGGCACTCATTAGAAGATGTTTCATGCCAAATATCTAAGCTCTAGCTCTTACGGTTTTTTAGAAGAAGATTTTTTAAGTTTTTCTTATTGGTTGCCATGGCAACCAGAGTTTTTAATGGAATTTAAATTTTTGAACAACTTTGAAAGGGGTCCACCTAAGGATCATTTCTGTAAAGTTTGGTTGCAATTGGCCATGTAGTTTAGGAGGAGATGTTGTTTGAAAAGTTTGACGCCATTTTTTGAAGGACGCACGACGCACGACGCACGACGCACGCAGAGTGATGACAAAAGCTCACCTTTGAGCACTTCGTGCTCAGGTGAGCTAATAAAAATATACGGTTATAGCGAACACGGTTATAAGGAATTATCGCTTATAAGGAACTCATTTCTTAGTCCCAATTTAGTTAAAAGTACAGAAAATTACATTTTTATAACAAACTCCAAAATATTGGCTATCCGTAAACAGATCCCGCATTTTCAACTTTCGTTTTCATTGGCACTCGTCCGAATGTACCATTTATTGTTGTATGTACTTCAAGACATCGATTAAAATGAATTTGTATAGCAGTATGTAATAGCATAATCCATTGAAAACTACAAAGTACGCTTGATTTAAATGAAAAGAAATCTATATATTTCATTAGTAAAAGTCACACTTAAAATATAATAGAAGATATTCAATATAAAAGGAAAGAAAAATTGAAAATCTTGTTTATTCTTAATCATGGAAAGAAAACGAAAAGTACTGAGTTTAGAAACAAAATATGATATTTTATGAGAAATTGAGAAAGGGAGTAAAATTAAAACTGAAATAGCAAAGGATTTTCAAATTCCAAAAAGTACGCTCTCGGGTATTGTGTCTAAAATAGAAATAAATGACTATTTTTTCTTAATCAAATGCTCTTCAAAATGGCGGACGTTGGTAAACAATCAGTTCGTTATATGTAAATCTGTTCGCTATAAAAACTCCTGATACAAGGAACTAATTCGCTATATGCTTACAAGGAACTCCGGATATAAGGAACAGATTTTGAATGTCCCGATGAGTTCGTTATAAGCGGAGTTTACTGTATTCATATTATCAAATTATTTGCATGTTTTACACTGATGTTAAACAAGCAGGAATAAGTGAAGACATTAACATTCTTTTACTTTTACTTAAAATACGGCAGCCTGCATGAGGTTAAATGAACCTACTATTTGACTAACCACTACTTTTATTTAGTTAAGTTTAATTTCAACAATTTCATTTAAGTCTAAATGTGAAGAAAGCTTTAATCTGATTTGAACCACTCCCCGAAGCGAACGAGTACTGGTGTCTTATGAGCAAACATGGTGACTGGTCATAACCAAAGTAGGGCTCAACCCCATGACCCCTACTCTTAATTAAGCATTTTCTTTTTGATTGAGCAGAACAAGTCAATGAATGAGTGAAATTTTACCTCTGGCCTGAATCTGTCTTCTGGTGGAGGAAGTAATCTTTCATCTCTTTGCTGGTCTCCAGCATCAAAATGACCATGTCCAAACCCTTCATCCTCCCCTGTTATAATTTATAAACAGGCATGACATACAATAATTTACACCAAGCAATTAAAGCCAACAACAACAAAATTTATTTTAAACAGTTATATCAATGTATCAGTGACTATTAACATTTCTACAGTATATAATTTTATTTGGACCTTCAGTTTCAAACATGAACTTTTTAAAAGCTTCCTCTCTTGACCTTCATTTATAGTAATGAAAGAGAGTGGTTTACTGTAGAGGTAGTAAAATACCTCGTAAATATCATCAAATTTGAATAATCCAATATTTCCAAATATCTATGCATTTCTCATGATCTTGTAAACATTTCATAGCACATTTTTCTTAAACTAAAAAGTACATTAATTCTTGATATGGAAAGCAATCTATTTTGAAATCAATAAAAAGGTGCTTTAACATTGTTAATTTTGATCAAATGCAGTCTGCCCAAATAATTGACAAAGAACTACATTTTCTGCATCAATTTCCAAAACTAAATTTATTGAGCAACTTGTCTTCATCTCTTGAATGATAAAAGGCTTTGTAAATCCTACCTTGAATTTTGGTCTCTTCTTGCTGACTAAAGTCTGTATCTTCCTGAAGAAATGGATTATCTTGATATTCCTCGTTATCCATTTGATTGTACTCTTCTTGACCTTCAAACTGATTTTGACCTTCAAACTGTTCTTCATTTCCAAATTGGCCTTCATCTTCATACTGTCCCTGGGCTCCAAATTGTCCCTGAGCTCCAAACTGCCCGCCCTGGTCTGTTCCTTCAAAGCCTCCCTTCAAAAACAAGTAAAAACAAATACTGAACTATAGAATTGTGTTATAAACCACATTGCCTAACAGATTGATGTACCATTACTAACAGAGCGATGTACCATTACTACCGTTAAGTATTCAATTAAAAATATTATAAGTGATTGTAATATAATCACTTAACAGCCTCCAAATATTCATTAAGTACTATGTTAAACATTCTTAAAGTCCAATGCTTATTTGCTTATATTTGGCCATATAAATTCACTTTCATGACATCAGGAACATGTAATGCATGATAAATCATATTAAACAATCATGATGAAAAGTCACCAATTTCATACATGTATGAAATGGTTTGTGATTTAGGATACCATAACTATAATGTAGATAATTATACTATCAGAGATCTGCCAAGAATTTGAAAGTACTGGGCCCTGGGCCCACTTGGTCTGAAAATGATGGGCCATTTTTACCAAAATATGGGCCTTGGGAAAATAAGTAAACATTGACCTAAATAACTGTTAAAAAGTTTGTAGATAATTGAATTTCCCTGGTAATAAAACTTAAATCATATTTTATGACAAGTTGTTCACTTATGATTCAGTACTTAACCAATAATTAAAAATTATGCCTACATGGTAACTTTCTAACTAATATTAATTGCAAGCAAAATATTTTTTAAATGGCTGCTCAAAAATTTGATGTGCCAAATTTATTCACATAACTTCTAATGTCTAATACTGTGCATTATCAATTGAATTGTTCCTACTTTGCACCAAATGTCCCTTACCACTGTATATTGACGAATTTTATTGCCCCTTGTATGCCTCTGTGTAGACAGCATACATCAAAGACACTTGCCCACAAGACCTTTTGATCATGAAAAAAGTCATACACAATGTTTCCCTGATTGGTTAATCACCCTGTCAAATATTCTGATGACGAAATAGACATCTTTTTTTTACAAAGCTTGTGTGAACTTGAGTGACCTTAGGGGTGATCAAGTTGTACACCTGTCAGATTATACTGTAACTTACAGCATTTCTTAAAATAGCAACACTTTTTTTAAGTTACCGATAATCATTAGTTGTATAATTTGTTTGTTTGTTTTATTGGATTAAATTTACGTAGTAGAAATGAGTATATGTGTGGGAAAGAGATTATGAGAAGAAATGCGGTAAGTAGATAACATGGACAAAAGCTATAGGGGAATGGATAAACTCAAGAATATGCGTAATTACAGGGGAATGGGTAACATGTTGCTGTTGGTACCAGTTTTGACTGGATGACTAAGTAAACCAGCAGACAGTTTTGTTTTCTTATAAGTCTGGCACAGGTTTTAAATGCACCCATGGCCCTTTGCTGCAGATTTTCCTGCACCATTCTCATTTTTTTAGCGCCAATGGCGCAAAATCGCGTCCTCGGCAGATCTCTGTACTATTGATACAAATATGTGAAAAAAGAATATGGTGCTGTGTTTATTTTATAGACCATGACTAAAAAATCCAAATTTCCCTGCCCTTTTAAGCCTGGATGGCTGGAAAGATGTGTGATGAACTATAAATTAATTAAACATCCAATACAGTCAAACGTGTATTAAGCGACCGGGCAAGGGAAACACCCAAAACGGTCGCTTAATGAAACGGTTTCTTAAGACAGTCAGCATGATATAAAAGTCAAAATTTATAAATGACATCTGTTTTATTCGGTGGGATTGTTTTTCAACTTCATTTTTATAAAAATGTTGAAAAAAAAAGTACGCTCTGATAATCTAAATGGATGCAAATGTAAAAAATAACTTCCTGATATTTATTGACAAAACAGTTTCAAGATCCATTACGTACATGTTTGACATTTTTTCCAGAATTTTTTAACTTCTCCGTTGTTTTTCCTTGTCTCCAATACGAAAACCCTATTAGTGAAGATGTTTTCTGTTGTGCATTTTTTTCGTTTGAAATAAACAGACTACATCTATTTGTTATGATTAATTTAATGGCTGATCAAGTTCAAGGTCAATTCAATGCAGTCTAAATGTCAACAAGCGAAGCGTATACACCATCTCAGTATGGGCGGAGCGTTGCATTGTTTATCCGATATTATTGGATAATACATGTCACGCGTATACTTAACTTCATTTGCATACGCTAAAACGGTATGGGAAATGGAGTCTTTCACACGTTTATTGTTGTGTTTTGATTGTTGACACTTGTGACATAACGAGGTGGCTTCTCTAAAAACACAATTACTTGACAGGTAAAAGTGGTCGTTTAATGAAAAGATTGATGTCAATTAGGTGACTAATTAGCGGTCGCTGGTCGCGTTGAGCAAAAGTCGCTTAATACATTAAAGATATAGAGAGAAAATGATCGGGGGGGGGGGGGGGAATTTAAAGTGGTGGTTTAAGACAAAAGTCGCTTAATACACGTGGTCGCATGGGCAAGTTAGACTGTACTTTTATCTTTTTTATAAACTAGTCTCATATGAAGTTAAAATTAAACAGTCTTTATTCAACTGATGAAATTTAAGATGAAGAAATCATACCAAATACATAGTTTTATAACTTCTAACATATTCCTTTTATATATACCTTCTGTCCCCACTTATCATTCCTTCCTCTTTCAATACTCCTGTCTCTTCCAAATCTATTACCATCATTTTGATCTTGATTAAATCCTCTATTCTGATCAAAGCCTCGACCACGTCCCCTTCCACGTCCCCTGTCAAACCCACGATTAGCACTTTCTTCTCTTTCTTGACTGTTATTTTGTTCTCTTCCCCACTGGCCTCTTTGATTTCTATCTCGTTCTTGTTGCTTATCTGGTTGATTCTTGAAGTTCTGAAATCGGGCCCCACCAGGCACATTTTGTGCTCCAGTATCCTGTTCACTTTGTTGCTGAAATTGTCCCCCTTGACCTTGGAAATCAGGTTTCTTTGGTGGGGGCTCTGGTCTCTTAGCACTAAACTTGTTTCCTTGATTCCCTGAACTATTTTGAAAATCCTTTTTCACTTCTTGATTATTTGGCTGTTTTTGTTGTTTTGCCTCTTTTTTAAATTCAGTAATTTTAATGTCCATTAATGATTTAATCTCTTTAATTGCAGCCTTATTTGTGACAGTGTCTTTCTCCTCTTTTGGTGATGGTTTAACCTGAGGAGATGATGTAGTAGAAGTTGTTGTTGCCGTTGTTGAAGATGTGACTGTAGATGATGTAGATGACGCTGACGATGATGCCGTGGATGATGAGGGAGGTGCTGATGTGATAACTGGCTTCTTTTCCTCTTCTGGTGGGGGTTCAAACACTTCACCCTTTGATAAATTAAAATCTAGACTTAAATACATTAAAATCTACACCTAAATTACATTTAAATCAACACTTAAATACATTAAAATCAACACTTAAATACATTAAAATCTACATAAACAAGAATGTCGAACGACACATATACCCCCCTTTCTAGCAATTGACTCACATAATTGGTAATTTTATTACAGAAACTTGCCAAAAATGGGTACATGGAAGTGTTCAATTATGGAAAAATCAACAGAAACCATTTTGACATTTAAGGCCCATGTGACATTGACCTTTGACCTAATGACCCCTAAATTGTTAGATGTCATCTACTACTTATGACCAATAACTAGGTGAAATATGAAGACTTTGTGATGAATACTTTTCAAGATAATCAGCCGAAACCCTTTTGACATTTAAGGCCCCTGTGACCTTGACCTTTGACCTAGTGACCCCAAAATAAATAGGTGTCATCTACTAGTGATGACCAATCACTGTGTGATATATGAAGACTTTGTGATAAATACTTTTCAAGATAATCAGCGGAAACCATTTTGACATTTTAAGGTCCCTGTGACCTTGACCTAGTGACCCCAAAATCAATAGGGGTCAATTACTAGGTATGACCAATCACTGTGTGAAATATGAAGACTTTGTGATACATACTTTTCAAGATAATCAGCGGAAACCATTTTGACATTTAAGGTCCCTGTGACCTTGACCTTTGACCTAGTGACCCCAAAATCAATAGGGGTCATCTACTAGTGATGACCAATCACTATGTGAAATATGAAGACTTTGTGATACATACTTTTCAAGATAATCAGCAGAAACCATTTTGACATTTAAGGCCCCTGTGACCTTGACCTTTGACCTAGTAACCCCAAAATCAATAGGGGTCATCTACTAGTTATGACCAATCACTATGTGAAATATGAAGACTTTGTGATAAATACTTTTCAAGATAATCAGCGGAAACCATGTGGTCTACCGACGGACAGACCGACAGACAGACCGACAGACCGACATTAGCAAAACAATATACCCCCTCTTCTTCGAAGGGGGGCATAACAATGTGAAGCACAGACAAAATAGAAACAAAGTGATTCTTATTTATGTTCAAATATGGGCGAAATGATTTCATACCTGGAACACTTCTGGCTGTGCTGGCTGAGTAGGTGGAGGCATACCCATACCCATCTGACCTGGATGTCGCATTCCTCCCATAGGGCCCATCATACCGTGAGGGCCCATGTTGCCTCTCGGGCCCATGGGAAATCCAGGGGGCCGCATTCCAGGCCTCATGTGCTGACCCATCATTGGGCGTGGCCCTCTTGGTCCCATACCTCTACCACCTCTACCCATAAAGTTGCCAGATTGTTGATTGCTATCAAAATATTTATATAACAAAAATTAATGAAAAGCACGACAAAAATTATAAGGCTTCTTTCATTTTACTGAATGTAAATATTCATTCTTTCAAACAGTAAAACAAGTTTTCCCAAATTGATTCATAGTATGAAACTACCTACAAAAAGTGAATGCATTGAGCAGCTTAATTTCCATAATTTCTGATAAATGATAAAGGTTCATGCAAATTTGTTCACACATACACAAACATTTATTTTCTTTCGAAATGCTCTTTAGTGGTAATAATCATACACTTCATAGAGTTGAATATCTTGATTATCTTTTCACCGACTTAGTTTCTATGACAATATGTACACTATCCATTCTTACATCATTTTTTGGACTGTTGAAAAATTAATTTTCAGCAACATGGTCTTATATATCATATGTAAGGCTTTACAGTAAATTTTGTATGATGCAGAAAAAAATGAACCCAAAAAAAGAAAAGACTTTACTCCTTCCATTTACTTTCTTTTTAAAGTACTGAACACCATGAACAAAACATACAAGTTTGACTTACCCTTGATTAAAATTTTGAGACCCTTCTTTCTCCTCCTTTTTAAATTGCCCTTGATTACTTTTCTCATTTTCACCACTTTTACCAGTCTTTTTCAATGCAGGTGGTTCACTGAATTCTAAGTCAAAAAGGGAAACTGGTCCTTTTTTGTCTGGCCCAGGTTTATTTGCAGTATCATTACCAAAACGGTTATTTCTACCAGTATCACTTGATTCCTCTTCAAAATCATTTGAATGGTCAAATCTATTTCCTTGGAAATTGCCCCTCCCTCTACCTCTAAAGGGCATTCCACCTCTTTGATGCCCTCCTCTCCCCCTTCCGCTGTCTGACTCTCCAATAGGCATTGGTCTTCCCCGCCCAATAGGGCCACTATCTGGGACTGAAATTCCAAATCTCCTCATTTCATCAAAAACTTCACTTTTCATACGGTTCAATATTGCAGGTGTTATACCACCCATTTTTTTCAGCATCACTGACTCGTCCCCAATATTGTTAACAACTTTCACCATTTTATTCAGCTGAGCTGGATTCATAGTGACATAATTCTCCATGAAAATTTTGGCAGCAAGTTCAAGCTTTACAAGCATTTCTTGACCATCATCATTAATCTGTTTTAGCATCATTTTATTCACTTTGGGATCATTTGAATTCATTAAATTCTCAAACATCTTTTTCAAAGATTGCTCAGAAACACCACCTTCATCCTCTTCAATCTCCATTTCTGTATCTACATCTTGATTATCTGGTGTACCACCATGACCAAAATCATTCATTCCGCCTCTGCCCCTACCTCTACCACCCCTAAACTGTCCACGACCTCTTCCCATATTGTCTTTAGGCCATGAACCAGATTCCTCATTCTGCTTACCTTGTCCAGGTGGTCCTCTAGGAGGAGGACCTTGGAAACCTGATTGAGGGGGACCTGGTGCACCTGGACCTGAGAACATTCCTCTAGGGCCTCCAAAACCTGGCCGCATTTGTCCCATTGGCGGTCTTGGCCCCATTCCTCTAGGCCCATCATGAGGTGGAGGGCCCCCAAATGGTGGTGGTCCTGGTGGAGGTGGTCCACCAAAGCCTGGCCTGGGCCCCATACCCATCATTCCTGGTGGTGGACCACCAGAGAACGATTGTCCTTTAGCTGCAGCTTTTTCTTGTTCTTTGATTTGTTTCTTTGCTTCTTCCTTTCTTCTCTGTATATCTGCCTTCTTCTCCTCCATCTGTTTTTCATATGTCTGCCACTGCTGTAAGTACTGATTAAACTGATCCTTGTTTGGATGAGCTGCAGGTAAAAAGAAGAAATCAAATATTTGTATAAATTGCACCTTTTTTACACCTGAACTGGTTTAAAAAGAAACTATATAAATGAAATATTGCAAATTTCTGTATAATATGTAATATATTATATTTGCAAGTTAAGTATTATTTTAAAAGAGTTTCAAATCTAAATTTTATAATTATCATACCCTCCTTAAGTATGCTTTTAAGAAAATAAAAAACAAGCAAAACACTAGATGCACAACTACACATGCTGACCAACAGTCCTGTAGTTTCATGGCTCTAGGTGAAATACTTTTTTGAGTTATGCAAGACACAAGTTGAAAATTGCAATATTTTTACTACATGTATGTCAAGGGCAATCACTCTACAAATACAAGTCCACAAGCAAACACCAATTTTAATGTGTTCAATGTACATAACTACATATGGCTATGCTGACCAACATTCCTGTAAAGTTTCATGACTCCAGGTCAAATACTTTTTGAACTAATGCCTAACACAAGTTAAAAATTGCAAATTTATCCTACATCAAGGACATTAACTCTTACAAAACTGAATTAATACAAACGCCAAACCCCCGGTGCATGACTACACATGCTGATCAACATTCCTGTAAAGTTTATTGACTCTAGTTTAAGCACTTTCATGTGACACAACATAAGAAGGCACACACGCATGTGCACACACGGAGACAAGGGCAAATCAAAATTCTCCAACCTCCTAGAATGGGAACATTAAAATCATGCTAGAAGGTTTTGTAACAGAAAAATCCCTAGGTGGATGAAGTCATTAACCCGACATGAAATATATCCTCCATCAGACAATGTTGATCTTTGACCTCCAAGTTGAGATCTTGACCTCTGGTTGTTGAGCATGACATGTTGTCTTATTATGATGAACATTATGCCATGTAATTTCAAATTTCAATGACGAATGCCTGGACTGGACACAAAGTCCTCTTTTTCTTCAAAAAGGTGGGGACAATTAGACCCAAATCAACATTTTTTTTAAATTTTCATTGTTCATTCCTACAATACAAGTCAATTCTATTTACCAAAATAGAAAAAGAAAGATGGTCTTGGATGATGTAATTATCGCAAGTTTATGATCATACTCTTTAAATGTCCCAACTTGTTTTTACATCCAAGAAATTTTCCTCTGTGTTCGATTATGTGTGTTAATGTAATGTGTTCGATATATGCTTATTGTATGTGTTTGATTATAAGCTTATTTTATTTATACAATCATGTTGTATACTGTATAAGTGGAAAATTTTGTGACATGGAAATATTTGTGATTTTTGCAAATTGAAATCATTCACAAATATTTGATCACGCAGAAATTATTTCTGTTTCGGCAAACTTTCTTCTTTCAATTGAAAACACGTTTTTATACAGCATCTTACATGAATAAGTTTGACTGTTTGACATTAATATTTTTCATTGCTTGTTTGTTTAAGTTTGGTCTTAAGAAATCACAAATGTTTAATAAAACAATATATGTGTCACAATATGACAAAGAAATGTGTGATCAGGTCCTTTATCAAACTAACAATGTGTATTTCAAACAATTATAATATAAATAATAAAGTATTGAACAACTGAATAGAATTATTACAATAACAGTATATTCTTAACATGTACTTGCTTTATTAAAGATATCAGAAAAACAGTTTAAATTCAAGAAATCATATTTTCTTAAATATTTCCGCACGCAAAAAGTCCACTTTTTGACATTCGCAAAATTTTTGTGACGCATAAATATCCACTTATACAGTAATTTGAAAATAAAATATTGTTTACATCAACCGAAGGTCCTAAGTAATGTTAAGGGCAACTTGGGTACTTGAATGACATATTCAAGTATTGAAATTTGTACTTGCTGTCATCCCTTTAATATGAAATACAATATTCACACTTACATTTATTTTGTTCTCTCCAGTCATTGTATTGTTTCCTCCATTGCTCATACTGTGCATTGAAGTCCTCTTCCTCCTTCTTAATCAAATCTAAGGGAGTCTGAAATCCCATCACTAGAAGAAAGAAAAATATTTCAAAATTGTCAAAAACAGTAATGCCTTAAATGACATCATTCAAAAGACCAAACATTACAGCATGCACTTCATTATCAAACAAGCAATTATCATAGTATTGCAAGCAATCCATAAGTCCCCTACCGGTTAGAACCCCAGCAACTTTCTGATGGGCCATTGGCCAGTCAATTTTACCAGTGAATGAATGACATGAATGAACTTAAATCTTTTGAGTTCTAAGTTTGTCTATATCACAGTAATGTGTTAAGTTTCCCTGCCTAGTAAGGAAATTATGTTTATACAACCTTGTCATATTATTACGATGTGGGATTTTAAAGTAAATCCTATAAGGAATGAAGAAGTTGGAGTGAAAAATACCAATTTCTCGAAAAAAAATCTTAAGTTCAAGGGGGACATAATTCTGGAAATAGTCTTGCTAGAGTATTTAACCTTCTCAAAAATGTTGAGTGATAATAAGAAACATATATATGAAGTTTGAAGTAGATACATTAGGAAATAAAGAAGTTATTAAAAAAAAGACAACATTTTTTTTCATAAAAATTCTAAGTTCAAGGGAGGTAATACTGATAATTTTTGTGCTAGAGTTGTAAACCTTGTCACATATGATGTGGTTGATGACCAGAAACTTATATTTAAAGTTTGAAGTAAACACCTTAAGAAATAAAGAAATTATAGTGAAAAAGCTGAAAAATTTAAATCAGAAATCTTGAAATTCAGGCTATTTGTTGCCATAGCAACCAGAATTTTCAACATAGGAAGAAAAGAAAAAGATGTGCATAATCTCCAGACTGCCATCTACCCATATTTAAAGTTTCATAAAAATATTTTCAGTACTTTTTGCGTTATAGCGGGATCCAGTTTATGTGTTCAATTTGCCATATTTTCAGACTATTTGTTGCCATAGCAACCAGAATTTTCAACATAGGAAGAAAAAAAACAGACGTGCATAATCTCCATACTGCCATCTATCCATATATCAAGTTTCATAAAAATATTTTCAGTACTTTTTGCGTTATCGCGGGATCCAGTTTTGTGGACGGACGGACTGACGGACTGACAGACAGACGGACAGACACACAGACGGAGGGTAAACCTAAAGTCCCCTCCGGTTAAACCGGTAGGGGACTAATAAAGCAAAATACGCTTACACTTTTCAACATTTAAATGGTAAATTTTCTTTAAATTTCATCCTTAAATATAATATTTATAAACATGTACTTAAAAGAAGACTTTTCACTAGAATGATAGAAAATGGTCTAACTAAGAAAATAAATCCGAACACCAATATCTTTAATTCAGTTATTAACGCGGTACAGACGTTTAAACAGTTGTTTACGTGACGTCACAATGTAGCGCCAAATATTGCGTGAAAAACAAGTAATGTGCTTTGTACAATTGCAGCTGCGTAACAAGCAAGGGGGTTCTCAACCATTTTTCTTTGATAATGAAATTAAATAAAAAGGTTATTTTTTTCGTTTTTCATGAAATATGATATATATTTTCACTAAACATGATAAAATGCCACATATTTTCACTCGCCGTCCCGGCTCGTGAAAATATGTGGCATTTGATCATGTTTCGTGAAAATATATTCCATATTTCACTCAAACGAAAAAATATCCTCTTAATACTTTTTAGAGCGCAAATTTGGCCTTAAAAATCACTGTAAGTTAATTTTAAATAAAAACATAAGATCATCAAACAAGACCTTTAATCTTTACTATAAAGTAACACAGTCTTACTTGGAGCCCCAGGTGGTCCCCACTGCTGCTGCATCTGTAGGGTCTGTTGCCACTGAGCTGCTTGATTTTTTAAATTCTGTAACTTCCTTTCTTCAAGCGGATCTTTTGGTTTTAATTCAGTCTGAAATCAACAAATTACTTATTGAGAATAAGTTTTGAACTTGCTTAATTAGCAACAATGATCATTTTTATTTGCATGGGCACGGATTTTCTTTCACAAATAATAAGTTACATTGATTTTTTTTCAAATCAAAATCATGTTTTGACAATTTAAATAGTATAAATTAACTAATACGCCTGGCTTTCAATTATAGGAACCAACATATAACAGAATGGCTCTGCCTATAGCCGACTGGTTCTCATCTTCAAAGCACAGCGCATTTGCATACGGCAAAGCTGGGGAGCCATGTTTGAATTTGTCGAAAGATTTTGTAAATGGAGTAAAACAGCGATGATCTTGTTTATTTCGCCTGTTGCGTTGTTTATATCGACATTGAAGTTTAAAATTGACCATCATCATGAAGAATTATGTGTCGATTGACCAAAGGATTATGTGAAAATATTGGAAATGGAATAAACAAGAATTTGTAACAGAGTTACCAACGTCCCCCGCCTCAGGGAAGTTTGACCTCTAAGTGTGACCTTGGAGGTAGGGACCATGTTTTGCACCTGACATATCGTCTTATTATTGTGATTATTTGTGCAAAGTATTTTTAAAATCCCTTGATCTATGTAAAAGTTATGGACTGGACACAAAATATACCCTATAACAGACTATGCAAATCTTTGACTCTAAGTGTGACCTTGGAGGTAGGGACCATGTTTTGCGCCTGCCATATCGTCTTATTATTGTGATTATTTGTGTAAAGTTCTTTCAAAATCCCTTGATCTAAGAAGAAGTTATGGACAAGACACAAAATATATCCTATAACAGACTATGTTAATTTTTGACCTCTAAGTGTGACCTTGACCTTGAAGGTAGGGATGCAGGTGTTGCACATGACACATCGACTTATTTAAGTTATTATAGTGACCATTTGTGCCAAGTGTTTCAAAATCCTTTGATCTATGAAAAAGTTATGTACCAGACACAAAATATACCCTATAACAGACTATGTTAATCTTTGACCTCCAAGTGTGACCTTGACCTTGGAGATAGGTGATTGGTTGTTGCATGTGACACATTGTCTCATTATTGTGAACAATTGTGGCAAGTATTTATAAAATCCCTTCAAAGATAAGAAAGTTATGGACCGGAGACGACAATGTTGACCTTGAATGAGCATGTGCGACCTTGACCATGGAGAAAGGGGACTGGTTGTTTTACATGACACATCATCTTATTATAACAAACATAACAAAAAGTTATTTCAATTCCTTCATAAATGACAAAGTTATGGGCCGGATATGAAAGTGTGAGGGACAGACAGACGGACTGATGGAAGGAGCTTATTTCTATATCCCCTTTTTTTCTTCGAAAAGGATGGGGACAAATACATGGTGATTTTGAAGGTAGGTGTGCGGATTTTATCTGGCGAACATTTTTATCTTGTGTATTATTATAGACGTTGAAATATGATTTTTTTAAAAACTGCTTTAAAGTTTAATATATTAAGTTTTTTTGATACTTATAATCAGTACTTGTGCTGGGATTGACAAATATACATCTTATTTGGATTTTTGAGGCATTTTTAGCTCCACACCCAAAGTGTCTAATCTAAAAATATGATGTATTAAAAACATTATGAATAAATATTTAATTTATCAAAAAAGGGAGTGGTCATGAACATGTATAGAATCCAAGCCACGCACTGACTGCATGTGGACTTAGCTTTAGACTTTACAGATCCTTTTCACATTGAAATTAAGTTCCATGTAAATTGAAACACAAAAAAAAGAGGTTGTCAACTTGGAGTGGGACACAAGTAACTTTTTTGAGTTCAGATTATAATTTTATGAACATGTTAGTTTGTTACACGAGTATGAAACTATCATTTCAAATTCATCATATTACATCTTCAGATCCATCATCTGGTGGGGGTTCTGGTGGCAATGGTGGATTTTCTTCTCCAGGTGGCGGCGGTAACTGGGTTGGCATTTGAACTCCTGGAGGTACCCCACCCATCATTGGTTGCATTGGCATTCCCGGTGGAATCCATCCCTGTTGCTGTTGCATGGGAATCATTTGATACTGAGGCTGAATGAAAGCCTGCTGCATAGGCTGCCATCCTGGAAACATCCTGTTTTTGTGAAGTTTACTATAAAGTCAAGCCTTTGATGTAAAAAATAAAATTTAAGAAAATGAAAACAACAATGGCGCAGCGTGTAGTCTCTGTCTACCGACGCTTGCACTTGCATTTAGTAGAGGCTATAACCCGGTAGTACGGTTACTTTCAAGTACGGTACTTCACAGAAATTATATTTCGGCACTTTTTATAGTATCATCCGATGATTCGAAATGCATTCCTTATCTTAACATTAACATGTAATATAATTATGATTGTATGTACGCTATCTATATAATTATCTATCACAGTGATAAAATTACAACAAAACTTCTTCAAAGAATTGCTAATAGCCGTATTGACAAGGTACGGGGTGTTACAAGAAACTTTTATAGAATAATATATATTGTACTATTGAAAAAATATAGTTACTTAGGGAAACTGATATTTATTTTTCTACTTTTAAGTAAGTCCAATGCATGTATTGCATAATGGAAATTCTTATATTGGGAAAATGAAGATTCTTCTCAAATTGTGAATACTAATTAAACATGTTTTTAACTATAATGGGCTTTTTATTTAAGCAACCGAACAAATCAATTAAAATGATTACCTTAAGTCAGTATATATGCTTTCGAATGACTGGAAACTTGCAACCATAGACTCTTAATTCAAGTGGCAAAAATGTATTTTCGGAACATGTGATATGTGAGCATGGTATTTAATTGCATTAAAGTAAAAACAGCTAGAAATACTATAGGGTCTTTAAAAGACAATGGAAAGACAACTAATGTTAACTTTTGTTCATACGTGTCAGCAATTTCTAGAATAATATGAAGCTTTTATGCTATTAGTGTTGTTTTAATTTTTTTATTTTTTTTTTCTCAGCATTTTTACTGTGTTTCTAAAAGAATTGAAGTAATTATCCACATTATATGATGGACATTATTGAAAGATAGATTATATGTCCATGAGATAGAGTGTATGTCCATTTACTCGACAACTTTACTGTATAGATGCCAACATAGTTAGGACAAAACATGATAAACTCAGTTTTCATACTTAGAGCTCAAGGAAATGAAAATCACATATGCAGTATAATGGACAAGGTATTCCTTGAAAGACCATTTGTGAACTAAATGTTTACCAACCTTCATACTTACATAATAATATTTCTTGCATATCAGACAGGATTTTCTACTGCTTACACTGATCTTACACCCCGTGTAAGAAAATTCGCGTGCTTTATGACGTCATTTTCTCACGTCTTTCTGAATGAATTGCGAGCTTAGGATGGCGTCATTTCGCCGTTATTGATAGAGTTATAATTTCATACGCTACTATAAATCAAAGGGCTGCAGCTCTATGGTATTTTCTGATTTTTGCAATCTAAATCATACTGACTATCTGTATGTACTTTCCTGTATAAGTTTATTTTTATATACTATAATTCATCTTACGCAGCGACAGCGTTTTGATTTTCTTCTATAACAGTTTGAGATTGATACATATGGAATTTTGCATGAAAAAAAAATAGAATTGCCTCGACTAGGATTTGAACCATAGGCCTCTCACACCCTCAACGAGACCGCTTACCTCTGCACCACGGCGAAGTTATACATTGTACCTTGAATAAAAACGAATACATTATGTAATTCTAAATTGAGAATTTCCATTTCGTGTTTGTAATCCTAACTAATTTCGAGGTATTTTGTTCACGATAAACCTGTTGTTTAACACTGATGAAATTAATTTAGCGAAAATCTTTTCGCCAAAACAGTCCGACATGTATATATTCCACTACTCGACAGTCAGATTTATTTGTGTACTACGCTCTGGAGTATTCGGTAATCGACATAGCTAAAAATAGCATTTTCATTGATTAAAATGATATTCATGATAATCCGAAGCTTTACGGAAATAGCCGAACATTTTTCATTGGGTAAAAAAGATATTCATCCGCGAAATTTGTGATTGTAACCTCATATTTCTGTTGACTAATCTAAACTTTTAATGCACTGTAATTCGTTAAATGCCTACATTAAAAATTATTCTTTCTTTTAAATTGCTGGTTTTTAAGCAGTTTTGAGTGAGAACTACTTTGCGTTGTTAGGACTGTTAGGAAATTTTGTGTTAGACCGTGGATGTTAACTATGTATTTACTGATCTTACGATCAGAAAAATACAAAAATGCTAAATGAAAAAAAAAAATGGTTTTTATAATATTTTTCCGAATAATGATTTATATGTACTGTAGATCTAGTATGCACATAAAAAAAAAATAATAATCAAATATTGGCTGTCGTCACAGACGGGAGTATCTAGTTCTTTAACTATTTGGCAAACTTTCAGCAGAGTTATAGATATACTGGTCTGTACCGGCAGCCGGTGTAAAAATCTTATAACCACACAATTTTTAAACCAATCCCAACAAACGTATTATTTTTAAATGGTGAGATTAAAATTACAAAGTGACCATTATTACTTTGATCCACAAAGGTTTTCAGGCTTATTATATGTGACACACTAAACAGTTCTTTCGCTCATTCACGTCATATGTATTAAATACTTATATGGGAGACCTATATATAATTTAAACGTTTGATTGAATAGCCTAAAGACTGGTATTTATATTTTACATACTGTCTGGTAAGATAAAGTCGAAATATTCTACGTCTCTTATATAAAAGTACAATGGATACGTATACAAATGTATATAGCGATTCTTTCACTATCTAGACAAACTCTACGAAAATGCTACACAAGAATTACAGCGTTTCTGGACAGTGAAATATATCGAAGCTTTTATTTTATGTAGTATATTTCTTAACATATTTTAAAAACTAATATTTTATTCGGTTTAATCGTTTGTTCTTGTCTCTTTGATTGCCAGTGTTTTTCGGGAAGGGCATTCCATTAATTTAATATCGTCTTTGAATTATGAACTGGAGTTTAAAAGCAGCTATCATGTTCTTGATTTATATAAAACAGGTATGAAATAGGAAGCCACACAATACTACAGATCTGACGGCGTATTAGATTTCCCGCAAGATAAGCAACAGAACGGGCACTGTATCCTAATACATGTCGTTATAGAATCGTAAAACTGTCACAGTAATTAACTCATCCTTCATGGACTCAAAAAATTCAAAAAACATCCTCAAGAAATATTTTTATCAGGTCTGATTTTGTTCAAAGATCTGTAAAAACAAATTGTTAAGCCATTTAGAGACGTTGATATGATGCCAAGACATGATAAGGTGTTGTGAATGTAAAATAACGAAATAGTAATAACATTTTATAAATATTTTATCACGGATTTTTTGGAAAATCAAGGATGTTACGGGTAAAATTAAGTTTCAGTTTTTCAGCTTTGGGCGTTCTTAAGGGATTGCGTTTTTCTCTTGTTTACTTTATAAAAAAACTACATGTACATAATGTTATTTCAATGATAAGAACAAAAACGTAAATTCTTGAAAATTCTTGCGATTGAATCATTTATTATTTCCTATTGCCAGTGCATTAATACTACCAAACGAAAATATTGTGTGGTCGTTTTAAAATGTAATGGAAAGAAACACAATAATATGAACAAAAACAAAATGACGAAAACTGTAAAAGAATGATTTTCAATACATTGAAACTAATTTTCAATTTAGATCTAATATAAAAAATAACAACAACGGTTTTTTACACACAACATTAGTAGACATAAATGTAGGAAATTATTTTCAATACGACTCCTCTATTTTCAGTCATCTTCTCAGAATGTTAAACATTTATAAATCTGGGCATATCATCACTTAATGTTTAAGTTACAATAAAAAAGTATTTCTTCATTGCTTTCATTTAACTTTCAATGTTTAGGAATTCTCAAGAATCAATAAAAATGTATCAAGGGAATACCCCTCGAGAGAAGCAAAAATAAAAGCATTTTGTTTTTATATTTTAAGAAAAAAAAGAAGGTAAAATACAATTACACAATGTAAACACTTATAAGGAAAGGACTTTGAACTGTTTAACCTGAAATTCAATAGTATTAAAACTGTGTTGCCCTCTCCGAACTCAGTGAGCTTATCACCCCTGGATGCATCTCCAAGTACCTTGACATTGCTAGACGCTTGTAGGATCTTTGATGTCAAACCAACTTTATGAATTATAGTGTGTACCTGATATTTGGCCGATAGTTTTTTATTACCGTAATTTATAATAAATATAATGATATCGCTATGCGTTAACAAAATTACGCTTTTTAGATACCAACGCAAGCGTGCATTGTAAACAGCAGTGTGGGGTTTCTTCATTTTTAGTCATTCTGTAACATGTTGCTCCTAGCAATTTTTATTCAAATGATTGATCGACTTTATTTTGAAAAAAAAATATGAAAATGGGATAACAGTTCACAGATCAATATTTTTCTTTAGTTCATTACTTTTATTATGTTTTATTTCTAGATTAAATAAAACCACATATTTGTCATATAGGTCATTATTTAGAAACAAGATTCACAATAACCTGTCAATAATAAAATGTTTAATTTACTTCGCATCTAAACAATGGAATTAAACTTTAAAATAATGCATATTAATGTTAGTACAAATATTTTTTTTATTTATTTTATGAGTGAGTGCATTGTTTTATTTGGTTATATTATAATAGAATTTCGCATTTCTTCTGAAAACAGTACAACAACAAAATAATCATCAAAAATAAAACAGTTATTTAAGTAATTAAGTCAAATATCAGTTACTTTTGAAGAACTTCATTTTATAAATGTATTTCAACAAAAAAATCTTTCCAAGGAAAATGAATTATTATTCATAGTCTAAATAAGATGAAATTTCTGTTCTAATCCATTTTTAATTTTTGTAAAATTTCTTTTAGTAATTTCAAATCATCTATATTATACATTGTATGATTAGATTGATCTTAAAATGAGCTGTGACACAAACAAACTTTGGCTTTGGCTAGTTTTGAAAATGGATAAACAAACCAACATAAAAAATGTTTATATTTATTATAAGGCAGTAAGAAAATTATTGTGTACAAACATGCAAGTATCCCATTTATTTTCCAAGTTTTTATTTGCTTATCTTAGTATGCATATAACTACATAAACATGAGATACC